AGTCCGAGGGGTTGGGCCGCCTCGTGAGGCTTTGTTCCTGTGCCCTGAGATGCCTGCCCCGCACCGGCCTCGGACAGCCTCCTGAGGCCCTGGTGACGGCAGCCTGCCCACCGACCCTTTCGTGTGGAGCCAGCAGGGCCACTGGACCTTCAGAGCCACAGGTACCAGCCAAGTGCCCCCCTTTCCAGAGGTGGCAGCTACACAGATGCTGTCGGGTGTGCTGACCCCGACTGAGGCAGTGGACTCTTCCAGAAAGGCTTTCTGCTTTGGGCCCATCTGAACCATCCTTGCGAACGTTCTTTCCTGCTCGGGGTAGAATTTACAACTGGCGCGCCCCCCCACCCCATCTGGGAGTGGGGCAGGAGCCCAAGTGTTTGGTGCCCTCTCCGGGTCCCCTCTCAGCCACTGGGTGAGGAGCAAGCACAAGACATTCTGAAGACAAGGCAGGGTTATCTTCCACGCCCCAAACCTGCCCCCTTCTCATCCTTCTCTCCTAGTGCAACTAGGCAGACTGCTGTAATTGCTCCTGCCAGAGCCAGTTTTTGGGTTCACGAGTATTAGTCATTTGCACCATAGCATAAATAAGTTTACACGAGCCAGTTGGTGTCTTTGTTTCTTAATCTGCGACTAGACTGCTGTCTCTATTGTTAGGGCAGCTGGGCAGATGTAGGAGGAGTTTGGAGGTCGGGGAAGAGTCTTTACCTCTAACATAATACCTAAGCCATGACTAGGAAGTCAGACGATAGTCCCGGGTGCGTTTTGGGTTCAAGGAGGGGATACGCTCTTTGGGGCCCTCGCGAGGTGTGGGAGTCCTGGGGTTGTTCCCCTGTGCTGCAGCCGCCGTGGCCAGGGCGGTGCGGACCGAATCTGCGTATCTCCTGAGTTAGGAGAGCAGTTGGCTTGTCAGGACCTGTGGCTTCCGGCCATCTCTGTGCCATCTCTATGATACCAAGGCAACTCTATAGTCAGGTGCTTGTCCCAGGTTCCTGGCACAGAGCTTCTGGAACCCCAGGAATTTCCTGAGTGATGGGAGTGTCTTTTGTTTGTGTGCTTCTTTCAGCCACGCCTGAGTTTATGCTAATAAGGGGACCCTCCTCAGCCCCTGGGGTAGCTTCAGGGTGGGGGCTGGGTGCTGGAGGTGCACCATGTGATTAGAGGGTTGGAACTCTCAGCCCCACCCCAGACCTCTGGGGAGTGGGCAGGGGCCGGAGATGGAGGTAATCTCCCGTGTGCCTCGGTAATGAGGCCTCCATTAAGCACCCCCAAGTGAGGAGGTTCTTGACCTTGTGGTTTGGTCAACAGCTGAGGTGCTGGAAGGTGGGGAGCCCTGAGGGCAGGGAACTTTACAAATCTCAAAGCAGCAAACAACCCCACCCCCGACTCTGTCTCTCTTCTGCGTGGCTGTTCCCAAATTGTATCTTTTAATAAGATAAATCAGTCATCGTGGTGTGTTGCCAAGTCTTGAGAGCTGTTCTAGCAAATCATGGAACCTGAGGAGGGGGTCGTGGGGATCCCCAGTTTAGAGCCGGCAGTCAGGAGTACAGGAAGCAGCCTGGGGCCTGGGACCAGTGTGTGAAAGCTGGGACGGCAGTTTTGCGGGTGGAGCCCTTGACCTGTGGGGCCTGCGCTGTCTCCAGTCGTTAGTGTCAGAACGGAACCGGATTGGAGAAGCCCCAGTTGGTGTCAGAACTGGCTATTGGTGTGGAAAAAAAGCCACATGACCATGGCATGGAGAGAGTGCCACATTCTGTGTCCTCTGGTAGTTAATAACGACCTCAGATCAGGGAAGAGAAAGGGCAAAGTGCTGAGAGCCATCCTCCCAAATCCAGGAAAAGAGCCATGATCTTCCAAGGAAGCTCTGATTAAGTTCCTGAAACCCTGTGAGATGGGGGTGCCTGGGCGGCTCAGTCAGTTAGGCATCCGACTGTGGCTCAGGTCATGGTCTCATGGTTCGTGGGTTCGAGCCCTGCGTTGGGCTCTGTGCTAACAGCTCAGAGCCTGGAGCCTGCTTCGGATTCTGTGTGTCTCTCTCTCTGCCCCTCCCCTGCTGTCTGTCTGTCTCTCTCTCTCTCTCTCTCAAAAACCAATAAATATTAAGAGAAACAGAATAAAACCCTGAGGTGGGACACCCGTTCGCGGTGGGGAGCCCGCCACGACCTGCGAGTCCAGCAGCTGCTTCTCTCGGGGCACATAACCTGGGTGATGACTCGGGCTTTCTGGAAGAGCAGCTTGTGTAATCAGTAGCTGGGCACAGCTTACCCCGTGACCTGGGAGCTTGGCATCAGCTGAGCGCGCTCTGAGGGTCAGGCGGAGGCGGCCTCCCATGGCCATGCGGACACGGGGCAGCTTCCCTGGGGTGCCCACATGCCTCCGAGGAGCACATTTCTGCCCCTGGGGCTCATCACACAGGTCTCTCTGGCCCCCTGCCCCCTCCTTCCCTCCTTGGGTCTCTTCCAAAGACCTCATCCTCATTTTCAGGCCTGGCACAACTCAGGTGTCCCCGCCTCTCACCCTCTCCCTCCCCCAAGCAGAATTAATTTTCCCTTCCTTAGGCCCCAGGGCATCTTCCAAAATTCATCACAGTTGCGGCCTTTTGCCTTGAGATACAATCTGCCTCTGTGAGTTTGGGCAAATGTATGCTTGTTAGATAGGTACAGTCATATCATCGCCACCGTGGGCATGACTGAGGACAGAACGGCCCCTCCCTTTACCCCCCCCCCCCCCCCCCCCCCCCCCCCCCCCCACGCCGTGATCTCTCCCCCGCGTTTTCCCTTCGCAAGAAGCTCATGCGGATAGAATCTCAAAGGACGCGGCAGCTTCCGTCTGGCTGTTTTCGCACAGCAGAAAGCACCTGCTGTTATGTGTCCTCGGCCCGGCCCTTTTCATCACTCAGTACCCATCGCTTTTTATCGTGTCTCCACATGGAGCTCTTCTGCTGTGTCCAGATATCTGGGTACTTTCCTGTCCGTCTGCTAGGTGCACAGCCGAGCTTCTCCAGGGCTAGACCGTGCCTTGCGCGCCTCTGTGTCCCCAGTCTGCGCTTAGGAAGAACTGGACGGCATGGTGTCGGGGCAGCTGTGTGTTGACAGTGAGGACCCTGGACACGCTCTACCTCTCCAGAAGGGTCAGAGGACCCGCCCAGGCATCAGGCCCCTGTGGAAGCCTGACCAAGCCTGGGCTCTGTGCCCCCCCCCTCCCATGGGGCATAGGGCCCCTGCTGAGCCACCCCAGGATGGGCAGGCTGGCTTCTGGAAAACTGCTCCTACCCCTAGTTTGGTGTCTGTGGTGGGTGGGGGGTATCACTTCTTAGGGGGCTTTGGAGGGCTGTCTGTGGACCCCCTGCGGGGGCTCCATGTCAGGGATCGCTGGGAGTGTGGTATTGGTGTGTGCCTGTCTCATTCCTCCCAGGCCAGAGAAGCCCTCTTCCGGCCTTGTTTGCTCAAGTCCCAGCTGTGCCGGCTTGTTGGTTAAAAATAGGCATAGGCCTATCCGCCCAGTGACAGGCCCTTCTTGCTGGAATGCTTATGTAAATATCTGGAGGAACTTGAAACCTGGGACTGTTTCTATCCTGGAGTCGTATTGTCTGGACTCTTGGAGCGGGAAGGGGAACAGGCTGTGGGAGAGTGAGGGCCAGCACGTGTGAGAAACACCCCGGGCGGCGCCACATTATTTGGGAGATGCTCGAGTGCAGGGTGGTTCCTGGAGGCCAGTGGAAGGGGAAGGCCATGTGCAGTAGTGATGATGGCCGGGCTATAAATCCACAGGGTTTGAATCAGACTGACCAGGGCCCAGACCACGATTCCACTCCCTGCTGGCCCATGGCCTTAGGCAAGTTATGTGGCATCTCGAACTGGGGTTCTCTATCCCACCATGACGATTGTGAGATTAAAAGGATCAGGCGTGTAAAGCTCCTGTCAGGACCCAGCACACAGTAGGCCCTCATTCAGTGGTGGCTGCTCCTCTGGCTACCTTGAGTCTTGCCGTCAGCTTTTGCCAGCAAGCATTGCTCAATCTTGTGTTGGATAGCTAAGAATTGGAGACGCCCAAATCTTTATTTTTTTGTTTTTAATGTTTCTTAATTTTTGAGAGAGAGAGAGGGAGAGAGGCAGAGAGAGAGGGAGGCACACAACCCAAGCAAGCTCCAGGCTCTGAGCTGTCAGCACAGAGCCTGATGCGAGTTTCAAACTTACAGACTGCGAGATCATGACCTGAGCTGAAGTAGGACGTTTAACCGACAGAGCCACGCAGGTGCCCCTAGAGATGTCCATTTCTCATGTCTCTTCTGTAGAAGGGACACTAGAGTATCCCAGTGCTTGTCCACATTCCTCTCCAGGGCCACTCGTGTGTCCCCACCTCTGCTGGTCTTCAGCCACTACCGTGTCCTTAGATCACTTTTGCAGCTGCCCCAGCAGGGCTGTAACTCAGGACTCACCAGCTGCGAGAGGACTGTAACGGAGCTTAAAATAGAGACGTGTCCCTTGCCTGGACGGAGGGCTGCGCCCCCCCCTCCCCCCCGCTCCCCCGATGCAGGCCAGATGGTGTCTACACAGCCGAGCTGAGCCGGATTCTGGACAGCTGGAGCTGCTGAGCCCCTGTGAGCGAGCTGCTTCCCCTGTAAGGCAAGCCTGGCTTTCTTTGGTCTGAAGGCCCAAGGGTCCTCAGCCTCTGGCCTCCATCACCACCTGGCCAGACGTTACCGACCCTCAGGGGCAGCCAGAGGGCCGAAGACGAGAGAAGCTCAGAAGCACTGAATCATTCTGTTTGCTTGAACCTGTTGCTTTTGAAGCCCCCCGCAGGCCATTGTGTCTGAATAGAGAAGTGTGTCACAAGCCAGCCAGAGAACGCCCACCGAGTGAGGCCCAAGCCGAAAGGTCAAGCCCTTCCCGTTGAGGGAAGACACCCAGATGGGGCGACTTTGTGCCTGGAGCAGCCCCCCTCTCGTCCTGTCTTCATGTTGTGTCTGTCGCTGATCCCTCCACGGCCTCCCTCTCCCTCTCCAGGTGCCACCATGGAGTCTGACCTCTGCTGACCAGACCCGGGCAGGAGGTACACGGCCGAGAGAGGCGGCCTGCAGTCAGTCGCCATGGCCTCCGCCACCGCGGAGAGCCAGCTACAGAGAATCATCCGTGATCTGCAAGGTGCGGTGGGGCTGGGAGGCATGTCAGGCTTGGAGGTGGGATAGCCGGGCTGTGCTTGTACCCCACCCCCATCCTTGTCCCAGGGCGGTGGAGGGGGGGGGGGCGGGGGCCGGAGCCCTGGGACCCATCATATGGAGGTGTTTGGGGCTTGGGCGTCCACCCTGTGTCAGGCAGGGGCGGCCGGGCCAGGCCTCTTCCTGGGTCCTGGGAAGCCAGTTTGTAAACTGAATCCGATACCCTCATCTGGCCCTGGTCTGCACTCAGTTCGTGTGGCTGTGAGTGTGGTCAGGCCCCCCGGGCAGTCCTTGGTGGAATCTTGGGCCTCCCCAGGCCATGACGGAGTTGGCCCATTTGTGGAGGCCGTGTTCTCGCCGCTTCTGAGCAGGGTGGCCAGACACCCGTCTTTCCTGTTTTGCCGTCCTGCCCAGTCCTGGCGGGTGGACAGCCTGTGTCCTGTGACGCACTTGTAGTTCTGGGCCCGTGACCACCTCGACTCCCCGGAGCTCAGCGTCTGGACGAGACTCGTAACTACGAGTTACTGCAGAAGGGCCGGGCCGGGGACGGTGCTGCGACTCGGGGCAGGAGCGGACTGCTCGCTCTCCCAGGCCGCAGAGCCTAGGGCCCGAGCTCACCCTTTTGGCTGACATACCGCCTGGGTCAGAACCTCGGCCAGCGTCCTGCCCACCTGAGGCCACCGGGGCTGGTCTCTAAGCCTCCTTGGAGCTCCCGCACCTGTGCTGCAACACGGTCTGAAGCCGCCCACTTCTTCCGTGTCGCAGAGATCAGGGTGACACTGTCCTGACAGGCTGCAGGCCCGGGTTCGCACCTGCTCAGGACCCTTCCCTGCACCTGCGGTGACTGTCTCGGCGGCACACAAGGGTCCAGCATCCAGCACGGGAGCAATACCTCCCCAGCTGGGGGGTCTTTGGACAGTGCACAGCCTTCGTGCCTGCGCAGGGCAGCCCGCTCGTCTTCCTGACCGCACCGACGAGGGCTTTGGGGTCAGCTCCTGGCTCTGCCCTTTAACTCCGGAAGATGTGGGACGAGCCCCGTAGCCTTTCCGAGGCCCCGTCGCTTCCCTTGTGCATGAGGTCAGCTAGATGGTGACACCCACTCCTCAAGACCGTTGGCAGACGCACATGTGTAATTCACATAAAACTAAGACTATCCCTGAGTAATGCACTTGGGTTATCAGAGATTAGAGCTGAGAACTTCATATTTCATACCCAAGCCTCCTCCTTTCAAAATTTCAGGAGTTCCGAGATCAGGTTGAGAGCGTTAACCCAGCCTGAGTGGTGGAGGAGGGGAAAGGCTATGTCTCCCCCAGGCCCTGGCCCCCCCGACTCTCAATGCCAGCCACTGCACACACTTCAAGGGGGTGCCACCAGATGGCGTCACTTGTACGAATCGGTCCCAAGAGCCTGTTGTTGCCATTCGCTGACCTCTGCCCTAGGGGTCAGTATCGATTACACATTAGCAGCTCGGTCAGCATCAAGGCCAGGCAGGTGTGCTTTCCAGCCAAGGTGCTGAGAGCAGGGGCTGGGGCTCCTCTTGCTTCCGAGCTGTCAGAGAGAAAGGGCACTTTGTCCAGGGCGCTCCAGCTGCCTCAGCGGGGGGCACCTTGCCCAGTGTCTGCACCAGACGCAGCTTCTCACGGTCTCTCTGTCCCACAGCAGAGGCCATGAGGGAGAGCCGAGGCGGTTTTCCTTCTTTTGTGCACGGGAGGTCAGTTCTCTCAGAAGCATGGAGGTGGGTTCCGGAGTCAGAGGCCCGTGAGAAAACCCGGGGTCTCATTCCAGCGCGGCTCTTGCCTGCCCGGGGTCTTTGGCGAGTGCTCTACCTGCCCAGGGATTCCTCACCTGCCAGCAGGGATGATGATGGCAGCCTTCATCAGTCTTTTTTTTTCATTTTTACAAAAATGTTCATTTATTGGTGGGAGGGAAGAACACAAATGGGGGAGGGGCAGAGAGCAAGGGAGAGAGAGAATCCCAAGCAGGCTCCACGCTGTCAGCGCAGAGCCAGACGTGGGGCTTGATCTCACGGACCGTGAGGTGAGATCACAACCCAAACCAAAATCAGGAGTTGGACGCTTCACCGAATGAGCCACCCAGGCACACTGTCTGCCTTCATCATTCTTAAGTTTGTGTTTGTTTTTATTTTTTCACATTTTAACAGTTCGGAAACTGGGATCATTTTAAGACCAGTTGTGTGTTGGGTTTGTTGAAACAAAACACTCCCCACCCCTTGGTGCTGTATTCAATGGGAAGGCCGTGCAAAGGCCTGGCCCCAGAGGGGCCCTCAGCTCACAGAAGCAGGTGTTGTTATCATTCTTGGGATTGTTCTCATTGCTCCTGTTTGCATGTTCTGGGGCTTCTCCTGTATGAGCAGTAGGGTTATGGTGAAGAACAGCAAGGAAGATGGCCGGAATGAAGGGCAAAGCTTTCTGGAAGTCCCTAGTAGGGGCCTACTGAGTGACCCGTGCACACAGCAGACATTTGCTGCATGCATATTATGAGGCCTACGTGGTGAGCCCACAGGGGTGACCAAGAAGTGTGCTCTGTTAGGGAGCTACTCTAAAATACCCACCTGGGAGCTCTCAGGCCCTGAACGCCTTCAGATTCGGCATTACATCCATCCAGCGATCTGTACCGCTTTATGTTTCCAAGGTGCTCTCCCATCCTTGACCACGTGCTTCTCGCACTTCCTGGGTTCTTCTCTTTCTCTCTCTGAGGTCAGTTATGTGTTCCTATGTCTTGTCTTAAAGATGCCGTGACGGAACTAAGCAAAGAATTCAAGGAGGCAGGCGAGCCTATCACGGATGACAGCACCAGCTTACACAAGTTTTCTTACAAACTCGAGTATCTCCTTCAAGTAAGTGCCTCCCGCACCGTGTTGGTTTCTGCTCCGTTCTCTCATTTCTCTCTTGGGTGACTCATCAGCGTTCAGGATGTGGGTCAGACAGCTCCGTGGGGCCAGCGGGCCCTGCAGGGGAAACTGGAGGTTCGTGTGGTCCCTGGTGAGAGTGTGGGCCCCCCAAGCGCGAGCCTCTGGAGACTCAGAATGTTGCCCCTCAGGATAATTGTGGGAATCAGGAACATTCTTTAGAGATTGAGGTCCCCTTAAGGCCGGTCACGAGGTCACCGGATAGCAGGGATCACTTCAGGGCAGTCCCAGCCCCCTTTGAGAGTCTGGTTGAAAGCTGTGGGGTCTGTCCCCAGGCACATGGGCACAGGTGACCACACCCAGTCACGCCCTAAGCATGGTCCTGAAGCTGCTGTTTTAGGGGCTTGCTGCTCAAAGCATGGCCCACACACCAGCAGCGCGGCGTCCCTGGGGGCAGGTTAGAAATGTGTTCCCAGTTCCACCCTGACCTGCTGAATCGGGATCTCTGAGGTCAGCCCACAAAGTTTTGTTTGAACTTGCTCACAGCGTAATGCTTCTTTCTGCTTGATTCAAGAAACACAGGTCTACAGGGACGCCTGGGTGGCTTAGTCAGTTAAGCGTCCGACTTCAGCCCAGGTCGAGATCTCATAGTTTGTGAGTTCGAGCCCCGCATCGGGCTTTGTGCTGACAGCTTGGAGCCTGGAGTCTGCTTTGGGTTCTATGTCTCCCTCTCTTTGCCCCTTACCCTCCCACTCCAAGCTCTGTCTCTCTCTCTCAAAAATAAAGGAAACATTAAAAGAAAATTAAAACAAACAAACAAACACAGATGTAGAGAACTCTGCAGATGTGGAAAACCACAAGCAATCACAGGAGGCAGGAAGGAAATGGACTGAAATGTTAACAAAGTTATCTGAGGGAGAGGGTATTGGGCATTACGGGGTTTGCTTTTTTTTCTTTTTTAGTTTTATCCAGATTGTCTAATGATTTATGTATCTTTCTTCCATAGCCAGAAAAAATATACAACAAAATGTTATGTTATAGAAAGACACATCTTTATCATCCCAAACACCCTAAGTTTGCAATGTCACATCCCAGCAGAGCCTGTGTAAAGAATGAGAGGCTTCTGGGGGACTTTACCTTTCGCGTGCCTTTCCAGCTGGTTCTGGTTCACTGTGGGAAATGATTTATGGACCTTTTTTGTTTTCAGTTCGGTTTTAGTATTGGATTTGAAATGACTCATAGCTGGCACTAGTTTGAACTTACTACACGCCTATTAAAACAGTGTTGGAACTTGAGTAACTGGGGTAAGATATCACCAAGTCATCCCCTGACGTCAGGACCAAGTTGACCTTCACGTTGCCCTCAAGGCTTTGTATTTTCATAGTTCTTCATCCTGTGTTCATAAGCCCCCTCAGTGGTCTTCCAGCCAACACTGTGCACAGAGGGGTCATCGTTTTGGGGGGTTGTTATTCCCGAATCTCACTAGTTGAGCCTTGAGCCGGCTACCTGACCTCTCCTAGCCTCAGTTTCCTCCATCTGTAAATTGGGGGTTAAAACACCCTCCTTTGCCAATGAAGGGCCTTGCTTGGCACCAGGTCACTGAGAAGCTGTTGCTGTTCTTGATCATTCAAATGGTGGCCTGAACAGTGGCGTGTCGCCCTCTCCCTCTGTCCCTGCCCCCACGTAGTTCGACCAGAAGGAGAAAGCTACCCTTCTGGGCAACAAGAAGGATTACTGGGACTACTTCTGCGCCTGCCTGGCCAAGCTGAAAGGAGCCAGTGACGGGATTCGCTTCGTCAAGTCCATCCCGGAGGTAAGCGGAGTAGCTGAGGAGCCCGCGGCCTCCACTGCCCCCGCCTCAGGGCTCTCGCCTGGACCTCTCTGCACACAGCACCCTGAGGACGTGGGGGTGCGCGGCCAGTAAAGAAGTAAGGACATCGGAGCCCGGGGGTGGCTCGGTCCTGACTCCGTTCCCTAGACCGCGAGTGCGCTGCTGGCTTGGAGGCTGTTCGCAGTGCCGCCGGGGGCTGGGGGGGGGGGGGGCGCAGCACGGGACGCCTCCGCCTTTTAAAAAGCATTAGTTGCAGGTGCCTCGTTAGCGCAGTAGGTAGCGCGTCAGTCTCATAAAAAACATTAGTTGCTTAGATAAAATTCGTAGAGTCTACTAGGTGCTTTCTCTACAGTTTGCCCAGGCCCCTTGTTTTTGTAATGAAGAGAGTGATGTGAGGCCTCAGGAGACACTTCTTAAAATGCTGGTCATGCTAAGCAGCTTCCCACACCCAGTTTTGAGTCCCTCGAGAGCACAAAGCCGGGGCTTTGCTGTCTTAGAAAACTCTGGAACAACACATTGTCCCTCTCTCCTCTCTCTCCCTCTTTCTCCCTCCCCCTCTCTCCTGTCTCTCCCTCCTCCCCTCTCTCTCCCTCCATCCCTCTCTCCCTCACCCTCTCTCCGTCTCCCTCCCTCTATCCCTCCTTCTCTCCATTTCGCCTCCTCTCTTCTCTCTCTCTCCCCCTCTCTTCTGTCTCCCCCTCTCCTCTCTCTCCCTCCCCCTCTGTCCCTCCCCCTCTCTTCATCCCTCTCTCTGTCCCTACATCTCCCTCTTTCTCTTTCCTCTCTTTTCCCCCTCTCTCCCTCCTCCCTCTCTCCTCCCTTTGTCTCTCCCTCACTGTCTCTTCCCCTGTCTCTCTCCCTCCCCTCTCTCCTCTGTCTCTCCCTCCCCCTCTCTCATCAGCCTAGTCCCTCTGGGAGTAAAGAACTTTGCAGATTCGGGAGGAACTAAACCCCTAGATTCGGGGTGGGAGGCCCGAAGGTTTCTACGTTTCATCGTCCTTTCCGGTACCTCGTCAGCACAGTTCAGGTCCCGCCAAAGCCCGCAGCTGTGCCCCCGGCGCACCGCCCGCCAAGGCCACCTACCAACCGGAGCCTGAGGGGCTCCTTCCTACAGAGAATGACAGTGTTAGACACTCTGACAGTGAGGGTCGAGCGTTTTCCACCCTCTGACCTCTGAGAGTGTGAGGAGGGACCTTGGCTGTGAGGCGTTTGTTCCTTGGATGTCCATCATGTCTGTGCGGGCCACGGTCTTATGAGACCTTGCCGGCAGGACGTCGGGCCCCTGGCATGCAGCATTATAACGCATCACACACCCAGACAGAGGTCTCGTGGCCTCCTCTCCAAAGTCTGGACGAAGTTCTCCGTGTCGCTACCCGGTCTTCCCCCCTCAGACCACCGAGACCTTGGACTTTGCGGCTTCAGACAACTGCAGTCCAGAAATAAGTTCAGCTTAGTCCTCTTGGCCCAGGGTCGCAGGTGCTGAGATCTACTGCTTGCAGAGCACACAGACCTTTTGGTAATCGGGGCCAGGAAAACTGACTTCTCAGCCGGAAAGCATTCCCTGCCCGTACAGGCATTGTTGGTTTCCTGGAGACCGCGTAGACTCTGCTCCCCGCAAGCTGTTGAAGACTCCGTGCTCCAGGGCATCTTTGCCTGGGGCTCCTGGGCATGGCACCGGCCATAGGGCCGCTGGGCGTCCTGGGTAGCTGTTCTGATGGGGCCACAGGGCCGCTGGGCACTCGGGGTAGCTGTTCTGATGGGGCCACAGGGCCGCTGGGCACTCGGGGTAGCTGTTCTGATCAAGTGTTATCCAAAGCTGACATGCCAGCAGGTAAAAGTTAATGGATAAGGAGCCTGGCTGGTCCCCTCGGGTTGGCAATCAGCCTTTTAGACTAAAACAGTACAAGGCTGCAATCCGCCACTTGCAGGGGATCAGAATAAGCTCAGCCTGCCTGCATATCTTTGACCAAGACGCACAGGTGGGACTGGCGGCATGGTGGCCTGGCGGGAAAGAGTCTGCTCTGGTGTCCCTTGCGGACTTGGTGCCCTCTCCTGCTGTGCTAGAGCTTCTTGATATAGTGTGGGTAAGTTGGGACTAGACGCTAAGCAGGTAAGGAGTTAGGTAAGGAGCGGGAACCCATGATCTTAGAACATTAAAAAGGAAGAAAGCTGTGCAGTATTTTCACTCACAGTACAAAGGATGTTGCAAGATACCTCTTAAAACAAATCACTCCATATATATACATAACATATAAAATCAATTTGGGGGCACCTGAGTGGCTCAGTCGGTTAACCATCTAACTTTGGCTCAGGTCACGACCTCATGGTTCGTGGGTTCACACCCGCATCAGGTTCTGTGCTGACAGCCAGAGCCTGGAGCCTGCTTCAGATTCTGTGTCTTCCTGTCTCTCTGCCCCTCTCCCACTCGCATTCTGTCTCTCTCTCTCTCTCTCTCTCTCTCTCAAAATAAATACACATTTAAAAACAATTTTTTAATTAAAAAAAAAGTTTGATTAATAGGGCTGATTAAAAACATAGCCTCAAATATTTGCCGCTGAAAAGGTCCCCATGTTCTGAATACTGTTCCAGTGACCATTTTGCTAATAAGGACGAGTCTGCACCTTAGAAGCTCACAGACATGGGCTGTCATGTGAGGTCGATGTCTGTGTGACCAGCACCCTTTGGTCGGCTGGGTATCACCACCGACCACTCCCCTCGCCCTCCCTCACCTGCGGAAACAGTGTGTGGACAGGGGGCTGTCCTCACCCCTCTGCCCTGGGCGTCCGTCAGGACTAGCCGTCTGCAGACACGCTGCAGTAGCTTTTGTGAAGCCAGCGTGTGAGCGGCTGCCACCTGTCTTCGCCAAGCGTATCCCACACTCACGGCGTGCCCGCCCCCGGCACTTCACACCTTTTTATTTTTGAAGGCTCCTTCGTGTTGTGGTATCATTTCCTTGAGTCAGCAATCCGAAAACACACAGCTCCGAGCTGAGGGGTGCTGTGTACCGGAATGTTCACATCACTGATAAAAAAGGCAGTACTTGAGGCTGCACCACAGATTTCCTGTCTCACTCGGTGCCAAGATTGGTTTCTTGATAGCGCAGAGCGTCAGGACCATCTTTTGGTTGGAACGGGGCTGCCCCTGTCCCCTGCCACCAGGTGAAGCGTCTCTAACCTCTGAAAGGGGTGAGGAGGGTGGGGGGTCTCTACTTACCCCGTTCAGACTCCCCAGCCTGACAGCAGGTACTCTCAGCGGCTGGAGAGGCTCTGAATTCCTTCCCGCTCACCTGGAGCTTCTCTGGGGCCTGAAACGCGGGAGTGACTCCTGTTTGCGGCAGAGTCTCTGCCCGGCACGCCCCCTTGCCTCCCAACACGCTTCCAGAAACCTCTTGAGAAGCCACGCTCTGGCACCGTGGGGCAAGGGTTCAAAGGCAGGCCCACCCCTGGACCCTCCCATGTCCTCAGACTTCCTGAAACACAGCCACACGCTTATTTTTGTTTCCGCAGGGTGACCTGGCGCCCAGAGGCAGCCCAGCTCTCTCTTACCCCCCAGGTACCCCGACTACATGCCGTGAGCTGGCCTGTCTCCAATCCGGCCAGGAAAGCGTTGACATGTCCCTGTCTTACTGAGGGTTTCATGAGAAGCCCGAGCAGGCGTTCTACATCCATCCGAACTTCTTAAGAGTCCCTGTTACGCACCCCTGCCTTTCTCCTCCTCTCTCTTGCCCTCCCACGGGGGCTCCAGCCTCCTGGCCTCCTGGCCTCTTCCCCTCACCTCTTCTCCCAGCACCTCAAACTAAGCCCGATGCGAGCTTAAATCACACCGTGTCCCATCTGACTCTCAACCCAGAGCTCCGCACAGAGCCGGGGAGGGAGAATGCCGCTGTGTCCTGAAACCGATGTCCCACGGCCTCTTGTGAACACGCCTTCCTTGACGTGCTCACCAGAGTCTACGGATTCATCTCTGATGGAGGACGGCAAGATGTCTGCCTACTTCCGGCCTCACATCTCTGTGCTCTCCTTGTTTCCAGCTCCGGACGTCTCTGGGGAGAGGAAGGGCGTTTATTCGCTATTCCCTGGTGCACCAGCGGCTGGCAGACACCTTACAGCAGTGCTTCATGAACACCAAAGTGACCAGGTAAATGCACCACAGGGGCGGGGTCGGCGCATGAGCCGAGGTCCCCTTGTTCGGAGCCATGAGCCCGCGGTAGGTGCGCCCGCTGTGTGGCACCCCAGCGCTCCTGCCCGTCCGCCAGCAGCACCGCCTGGTCCCAGGCCAGGACATGAAGCTCAAAGAGGCCAAGTGCCCTTCAATAGGCTCTGCCGATGCCGAGCCCTCATGCAGGAGCTTGCATCCCGATCTCTGAGCTCGCAAGGCCACGGAGTTCTCCCCCGTGGGCGGCATGTCCTGGGGCTGGCCCTAGTGAATGGATGGGCCAGCAGGCTGCAGCCTTGGCCTCTCGACAGAACCAGCTTTGGGATTTTTACCACCCCCAAGCCTGGGGCCTCACCTGAGACCCCGAGTCGACACCTGCTGGGTGTGTCTGGGCTCCCTGGACATTGTGGTGGGCGGCCAGGTTGAGAGCCTAGGTTGTCCATGGGGTCAGCCTCTGTGGGCCTAGTGCTAAAGCCTGGGCAGGGGGAGGAGGTGCGGGGTGGGGGGACTGAGCGTGTAAACGGGGTGTGGAAAGAGGAGCCACAGAGCCAGCGCCCATCAGCAGAACCTGCCGATTTCCCAGCAGCATCTTCCAGCTCCGCCTCCCCCCTCCCTAGGGAGTGTTCTTCCAGTCAATCAAAAAAATCACTTGTGGATTAAAAGAAAAGGTTGGGGGAAAATACCATGTTTCATTTGTCATTTTTAAGGTTGATTTGCATAAAGATGTATTTCTCGTGCCTATGACGGGCTTTGTGAATTCACAGGCGTTGAGAATCTTCTCACCTTTGGTTTGAAGGTTATTTTGTGCTAGGTGTTCAGTAGGAGCTGTCACAAGCAACTTGACTTCCAGTGTGTCCCATTTCACAGATGTCTTTACACTCATCAGTGTGGCCTTTTAATTAATTTATTTATTTTAAATTTTTTGATGTTTATTTATTTGTTTTGAGAGCAGTAGATGGAGAGCACAAGCGGGGGAGGGGCAGAAAGAAGGAGAGACAGACTCCCAAGCAGGCTCTGCACCGTCAGCGCAGAGCCTGATGCAGGGCCCGAACTCACAAACTGCAAGATCATGCCCTGAGCCGAGATCAAGAGTCAGCTGCTGAGCCCACCGAGCTACCCAGGCAGCCCTCAGTGTGGCCTTTCTAAAATTCTTCTTGCTCCACCGAAAGTGAAACAACCAGCACCTCCAAGTGCAGATATTTTGTTTCTTGACTTTAAAATTTGTGCCTGGACAGAATTGAGCTGTGACCTTCCATCCTGTCGTTGAGTTCTCTAGAAGCAATTCAAGAAGAGGTTGTGTTTCAGAAAGGAAGAGTTCTAGCCCACAACTGTCCCTTTCCCAGCAAATAAATGAGATTTAAGTTTTCTCATACCCTTTTTGGGAAAATACGTAGGGTGTAAATAAGAAATGAATACGCTTCTAGTTCATTCCAGCAATTTTCTTGAAGAGCAAGCTTCTTTGAAAGAAAATCAAATTGGTGTGTGTGTGTGTGTGTGTGTGTGTGTGTGTGTGTGTGTGTGTGTCTGAATTAAACTCATTAGTGACCTGAGTTAGAATTTGTTAAGGCAGAGCCACATCAGCCTCCGTGTTTACTGAATTGCTGTTACTCTTGCACTGAGTCCCTTTCTGTGCTTCCCTGCAGTGACTGGTACTACGCACGAAGCCCCTTTCTGAAACCAAAGCTGAGCTCCGACATCGTGGGCCAGCTCTACGAGCTGACTGAGGTTCAGTTTGACCTGGCATCCAGGGGCTACGACCTGGACGCTGCCTGGCCCACGTTTGCCAGGTAACTTTGAAGAATCGCTTGGTTGCAAAGACAGTGGACAGAGACGTGTTTGAGGTCCTCAGGGTTGCCCCCAGGCTCCTGCAAGCAGTTGGCTCAATAAATTACATAAAGCTTGGGCAGCGCCCAGATGCTGATGGTGTTACAGACTTTGTGACTCACGATACCAGCTGAAGGCTCCAGCCTGAAACTCTCCTCCTCAGCTGGGCGGTAAATGAGTCAGTGGAGATGCATATGCAGAACCCAAGGTTTCTGAAGTGTGTTAAGGGGCTTGGGGGTGGCCTGCGGCGGGGCCAGGGGGCTTTTTCCTGCTTGTGTTCTTGCTGGTGTGCAGGCTGCGGCAATGGGAGGTGCAGCTTACCTGCGCAAGGCTTCCTTGCAAAGCTGCAGGAGTCACACTTCTTACCAGTGTGGCTGGTGCTCTGCACCCCTCCAGGGGGGAAGCTGGGAGGACACAGGCTCAGACAGTAGGGGACCTGCCCAGGGTGCCAAGGTGCCGGACTCATGTTCACCTCCTGTCTGGCATTCTTTGTTTTGCATTCGGTTGATACAGATTTTTTTTTTAAATGTCAATTTTTATATTTTATGTTAGGGGATATTTTCTACGTAGAGACAAGTACTGGACATGATGATGCCCATGGGCCAACCTCCGAGGTCAAACAGCTAGCATTTTGCCGTGTTTGTTGCACATGTCCTTTTTAAAACTTTTTAAGTCATTTCATAATTACCGGCAGAGTTGCCCCCAAAATGCCACAGAGCATTCATCTGGCCATTGCCTTGATTTCTCCAATTACCAGTATTTTACCACAACTGTTTTTATCACTTTCTCTTTATCAGTACATGTTGGTCTGTTTCTTAGGCCATTTGAGAGTAAGTTACAGACTCGATTCCCCTCTATTCCTAAGTCCTTGTGGTATATTTCCTAAAGTCAAGGACACTCTCTTTTGCATAACCTCAGTGTAGTTATTAAGATTGGGGAATTAGCATTGATAACAATGCTACTGATTTATAGGCCTTATCCAGATTTTAGGAATTATCCCAATAACGTCTTTTATATTCCAAGAGCCAGCCCAGAAACACATGCTGCAGGTAATGCCAGGTCTCTCTGATCTTCTTGAACTTGGAACAGTTTCCCTGTCTTTGTCTTTGATAGTGTAGACATTTTGGAAAAGCACAGGCCAGTTACTTTGTAAAATGTTCCTTCATTTGCGTTTGCCTCGCCTTTCCTCATTGTGGGTTCAGGGTACGTATTCCTGGCGGGAATACCCAAGTATTGGGTCCTTCTCAGCACATCATGTCTGGAGACACGCGATGTTGATTTGTTTCATTACCAGGGTGGTTAACCATGACTATTAGGTCATCTGGTATTTACCAGATCTCTTTAAAGTTACCGTATCTCCCTTTATAATCAGTGAGTCTCTTTTTTTCTCTTTACTTTTTTTAATGTTTATTTTTGAGAGAGAGAATGAGAGAGAGAGAGAGAGAGAGAGAATGAGTGGGCAAGAGGCAGAGAGAGAGAGGGAGACACAGAATTGGAAGCAGGCTCCAGGCTCCAACCTGTCAGCCCAGAGTCCGGCGCAGGGCTCGAACTCGCAAACCGTGAGATCATGACCTGAACTGAAGTCAGATGCTTAACTGACTGAGCCACCCAGGCGCCCCAAGTAATCAGCATGTTTCTTGTGGGACAGTAGTTTACGATGAGGCTGTTACTCCATTTTTTTTCTAACTTTGCCACCTCTTCATTTTAGCATCCATTGGTAATTCTTGCCTGAGCACACTATGACAGGCACCAAAGATTTAAGAAAAATTTAAAACAAAAATTGGGAAATAATACGTTCATTTAGTTCTTTCTTGGTAATGGGTAGAGATGCCTTATGTTTAAACTGAGTAGCGAGTCCGTCTGCTGCAGACCCATGTAAATCTGCCCTTTGGGAGAAGCTGATGGGTTTTGCCTTTACACTTTATCTGGGAGGGCCCTGCCTTGTGACAGCCAAGCCCTCCCCTGTGTGTGTGTGTGTGTGTGTGTGTGTGTGTGTGTGCGTGTGCATGTGTGCGCGTGCACATGTGTGTATTTCCTGTTCTCACCCGGGTTATCTGTTCCACGGTCCCATAGGAGGACGCTGGCCCCTGGCTCTTCTGCTTTCCTGTGGAGACCCCCCAGCCGAAGCTCCAGCATGAGCAGCTTGGTCAGCACCTACCTGCAGGTAATGCCAGAAAGGCTGGGGGACACCCCACCACCACCACTGCATCAGCCAGCGTGTGTCCTTGCCGCTTGCTGTATGCGGGGCCATGTTCTCTGACACCTTTTGTTCCAGCCCGAGCAATATAAACCCTTAGTTATACCCTCTGCTTCCTACGGCCCAGGTTTTTATAATTTTTTTAATGTATTTTATTTATTTCTAAGAGAGAGAGAGAGAGACAGCGTGAGCAGGGGAGGGTCAGAGAGAGAGGGAGACGCAGAATCTGAAACAGGCTCCAGGCTTTGGGCTAGCTGTCAGCACAGAGCCTGACGCGAGGCTCGAACCCATGAATTGTGAGATCATGACCTGAGCTGAAGTTGGATGTTTAACCAACTGAGCCACCCAGGCACCCCCAGATTTTTATAAACCCAAGAGAATTTAGGCCTTTTAGAGATTAGATTTAGTTAGATGCTTTAAAGTATTTTATTTTTTAAAAAATATTTATTTTTGGAAGAGCGTGAGCAGGCGGGGTGACACAGAGGGAGACACAGAATCCAAAGCAGGCTCCAGGCAGCTCCGAGCTATCAGCACAGAGCCCGACGCGGGGCTCGAACCCACGAACCACGAGATCATGACCTGAGCCAAAGTTGGATGTTTAACCAGCTGAGCCACCCAAGGTGTCTCGAAGCTTTTAAAGTATTTTAAAGGAAGTACTCTGGCAGCAGACTCAAATGCTGACTGTCCCCTACGAGTAGTGTGACTGTGGGCAGACCACTCCCCCTCTTGAAACCTCAGCGCTCTCATCCAGAAAATGGGGGTCATAAAAGCCATCGTAGCTCTTGAGGTGATATTGCAGACTGAGTGACAGAGTGCACGCACAGCGCGTCCGGGCTTGACATAGACCCGGGATGCTCAGGCAGTGTTCGTGGGTGGGGTTAGTTTTGCTAACAGTGTCAGAAAGTGAATGTATCATAGCTGCATGTAGTTCTATAGGAAAGAGCAATGCAGTTAATCACAACAAAATAAAAACAAAACGTAAAAACAGGACAAGCATTCAGAGTGGAGAATAAACAGAGCTTTAACCCTATTTTGTGGCTGAGTCACAACAGGAGTTGTGGGTCTGTGCAGGGGTGAACAGTAGTTTCAGTGTCACTTCGTGAATCTAAGCGCTGGTGTCTACTGTGCTTCCGGAGCTACGGGGGACTGGATGGGACATGGGGTTCCGAGGCCCCGGGTGGAGCTCGGGCATGTGGCATTGTGTCTTTAGGATGTGCCATCACCTCCTGCGGCTGATGCTCCCAGCAAAGCGCTTCTAGCCCTTCCGCTAGCTCGGTAGACACGGTTTACGTCCTGTGATTGCTGTGTTTTGGCTTCTGTTCTCATTAAACTCGAAAGCTGTTCCCAGGACATGCCGAAGCCACTTGTGTTTTCTTTCCCCTCCCCAGACTCAGGAGACGGCCTCCAGCTTTGACCTGAACAGCCCCTTGAACAACGAGGCTCTGGAGGGCTTCGACGAGATGCGCCTGGAGCTGGACCAGCTGGAGGTGCGGGAGAAGCAGCTGCAGGAGCAGCTGCACCAGCTGGACCGAGAGAACCAGGAGCTGCGCGCGGCTGTCAGCCTGCAGGGAGAGCAGCTGCAGACGGAGAGGGAGCGGGGCCGCGCTGCGGCCGAGGACAACGCCCGCCTCGCTCGCCTGACGGCCGAGCTCCAGAAGCAGTGGGAGGCGGCCCAGGCCACGCGGGACGCCGTGGAGGAGCTCCACCAGTGCGTGCGGGCGCTGGAGCTGGGGGCCGCGGAGAAGCAGGAGGACTACCGCGCGGCCCTGCGGCGGCTGGAGTCCATGCTGCGGCCCCTGGCCCGGGAGCTCGAGGCCGCACAGGACTCGACGGACCCGCATTTAGCCAAAGTCCTGGACCAGCCGGGCGTGGCGGGGCCGAAGGCAGATCCGGCACAGGACGCTCAGGGGCAGCGGGAGCCCCTCCCCGGGGACTCGGCCCTGGGGACCCAGGAGCTGGCGGAGAAGCTGCAGGCGCTGGAGACCGAGCGTGCGGAGGCCCAGGAGCTCGGCAGGCAGCAGTGCGCCCGGCTGGAGCGGCTGGCCGAGGAGCTGCGGCTGAAGGAGGAGGCCCGGGCCGGCCTGGAGCGCCAGCTGGCCGAGGTGGCCCCGCTCCGGGAGGCGCTGTCCGGGAAGGGGCAGGAGGCAGCCCAGCTGCGGCGACAGCTGCATGAGTCCCTGGCCCATCTGAGTTCCGTGGAGGAGGAGCTGGCGGAGGTGAGGCAGGAGGAGCGGCGGCTGCGGCAGGAGAAGGAGCTGCAGCAGCAGGAGGCCCGGGCGCTGGCCCGGCAGCTGCAGGCCCTGGAGGCCCAGCGGGCGCAGCTGGACCAGCACGTGCGCGACCTGGAGGAGCAGAAGCAGCAGCTCGCCCTCGACAGGGACCGCCTGAGCCAGAAAGTGGGGGAGCTGGAGCGGCTGGCTGGGCAGCCGGCCCCCAGGAGGCCCGAGGAGGGCGCGAGCAGCCCCCGGGAGGACCAGGCAGGTGAGCCCGAGATGCCAGGGAGCCGCGGGGAGGAGAAGCCCCAGCAGGCCAACAGGGAGCTTGAGCAGGAGCTGCAGAAAGTGCTGGAGCGCAACCAGCTCCTCGAGGGCAAGCTGCAGGCCCTGCAGGCCGACTACGAGGCGCTGCAGCGGCGGGAGGCAGCCATCCGGGGCTCCCTGGCCTCCCTGGAGTCTGAGCAGGCCAGCATCCGGCACATGGGAGACCAGATGGAGGCGAGCCTGCTGGCCGTGCGGAAGGCCAAGGAGACCCTGAGGGCCCGTGTGGCGGAGAAGGAGGCCGAGTGCCAGCAGCTACAGGAGGCGGTGGGGCAGTGCCGGCAGCGAGCAGAGGCCCAGGAGAAGGAGCTCAAGGCCCTTGAGAGCCAATGCCGCCGGCAGACCCAGCTGATCGAGACCCTGACCGCAGAGAAAGGCCAGCAGGGCATCCGCCCACTTGAAGGCGCAGCACCGCAGGAGCTGGGGACCCAGCCGGCCCCAGGTCAGGCCCAGCAGGGGGAGGCCGGGGCGCCCGACCTTCAGGCCAAGCTGCAGGCAGCCCTGGGGGACCGGGACAAGGTGCAGGGCCGGCTGAGCGAGGCTGAGGCCGCTCTGAGGGAGCACAAGGCCCTTGTGCAGCAGCTGCAGGAGCAGAACGAAGCCCTCCTGAGGGCCCAGGGTCGGGAGCCGGCGCGGGGCTCGGGGCATGAAGCGGCACCGCGGGAGGACAGGGCCGCGGAGGTGCAGGCCGAGGCAGAGCACGGCTCCCAGAAAGCCCCGCCGGGACAGGCGGAGGCACGGGAGCAGCCGCCCGGGGCCGGCGCAGGCCCAGCCCAGCTCGAGGAGAAGAGGCCGGCGGAGGAGGCCCTGGCCCGCGCTGTCCAGGAGCTGCGGGACGCCAGAGAGGCGGCCTCAAGGGAGCGGGAGCGTCTGGAGCACCAAGTGGCCGGGCTGCAGCGCGACAAGGACAGCTTGCAGGAGAGGCTGAAGGTGGCCGAGGAGGCAGCCCACTCCCTACCCGGCCTGCAGGCCCAGCTGGCCCAGGCGGAGCAGCGGGCCCAGAGCCTCCAGGAGGCCGCGCACGAGGAGCTCAGCGCTCTCAAGTTCCAGCTGAGCACTGAAATCATGGAGCACCAGAGCAGCCTGAAGGTAGTCCCAGCCTCGACCCCCGACCCTGCGGCGGGATCCGATGGGTCCATGAGAGGACAGGCCTGTCTGCAGCCACGTGGCACGTGACGGCCCAAGACTGTACCAGGCGGCCAGGTAGACCTGGCTAGGTCACAGCGTCTGCCCCCGCTCCTCTGCCCCAGGAGTGCTTTAGGGGCGCCCATCCAAAGCAATACCCTAGCCCGGAAGTCTAAACTCAGGATGGTTGCAGACAGGTTTGGCTCATAAAGATTGGCTTCTTAAAACTAGCAGCCAGCATTTAAAAGGCAAGATGTTTACAAATGCAGTTTGGGGGCTTCCTGTGAAATCTCAAAAGATCTCCGGGATGGTGCCCTCATTGCCACCTGGCAGCGGTCACCAGGAGCTGGGTGATGGCTGCCCCTCTTTAAGGGACACGTGCACCCTCTGGTGTTTTCCTTACACTTGTTTAGGTCCTTGCCCAGCCCCTCTGGGCCTGTGAGTTTGAGACCCTTGCCCTAGCCTCTAGAACCTACCGCAGGTACCAGCACTTCCCACCTGCGAAGCCTGTCGTCCGGTGCCATCCCGACGGTAGGCGCTGTGGTAGGAAACTGGCTCCGTTAGTTTATCACAAGGCCCTTGGGATAGACAGTGGTTCCTATGTGCCCAGGTACTGCACAGAGACAAAGGGTTAGGTGCTGCGACCCAGAGCTTCTCACCTGCTGTTCGCACTGAGGTCTGTGCTCACTGCCGGACGCCACTCTTAGCTTTTCTACAGATGTGCCTCCCGCACCGTGTCACCCATCCTGTGCTTCTCCGTGTAGCTCGTGGGGCACTTTTCTCCTCGCAGAAATTAAACCCTAAGTTTGAGAACCAAACTCAGTTTCTTAGTAAGCTTGAAAGGATGTTGTCACCAACAGAGCCCAAAGGTTATTGAGTTTGGCGCAAAAGAGAGAGGTAGCTTGTTTTCACCCACTCGGGGGAATGGGGGTGGGGGGGTCTCTCATTGTCAGGACCCCACTTTTATGACCCGTCTCTCATCATCTCCAGACTGCCAGTGAGGAGTGCGGGAGCCTCAGGGCCCAGCTTGAGGAGCGAGGCCGGCAGCTGCAGGCCGCCGAGGAGGCTGTGGCGAGGCTGAAGGTAGGCCCCGGGGAGTGTGCTGACCAGGGAAGCCTGGGGCGCCCACCTTCCCCCGGCCGTCCCCACCCCCGGTGTGTGGGCCTGTCGGGGCACGGCCCGGCTTGCTTCCCGCTGGACCCATCAGGAGGGCCGCCTGTAAGGCTTCCAGTTCCCAGGCCAGAGCTCCCATCCCTTCACCACTGTAGACATCCTGAGGGGGCACCTCCTGAGCACCCGGCTGGGGCGGCCACATGTGTTTCCTGCCAGCCGTACGGGAAGGAAACAGGTTGTCCTCAGCCATCTCTGCAGGCGTCTCTTGAGTCGGTGGTGCTGAAATCACCGTCTTCGGGGAGCCCCGCCCTCAGCTGCCCCTCCAAGATTCGGATTCCCGCAGCCCCCCCCCTCCCCCCCAAGCTCCACACCCTGTGGCAATGAATACTCAGAGGCTAGAATTACTAACAGAGGTGTGTCACCAACACAGAACAAAGGTTCTTGGACTCTTGACCTTAAAACCCCCTCCAGCCAGATGGGGCCGAGAGCCCACCAGGTCCCTTTGGCGGCCTGCTGCACGGGCTCCCGTCGGCTAAGCGTCTTCTCCTCGATGTCCTATGCAGGCTGCCCAGGCAGAGCTGGGGGAGAAGCTGAGCTGCAGCAGCAAGCATCTTGCAGAGTGCCAGGCCGCCCTGCGGAAGAAGGACGAGGAGGAGGCGGCCCTGCATGAGAGCCTGGACAGGTTAGTTCATGGTCCCCGAGGTGGGGGCTTTGGGGAGGCGGGGGGTGCGCCTGGTGCAGTCACGTAGAAACACAGCTGCTCGCGTTGGGTTAAAGATCTTTTCCAAGCCACAGACTCTGAAGGGGCTTTGCCAGAAGCATGTGGCGGAGGGCCAGCAGCCGGCCTCACATGCCCTGCAGACAACGGCAGAGCCTTTCTCCCGGGGCCTTTTTCTGACCTCCGGCAGATGCTTTGAGAGAACGGACAGGACATAAAAGCTGGGACATGATAACGGTAACGCTAACAGCAAACACTTAAGTACTGCCCCAGATGGGGCAGGCACCCTTTAAACACTGTGCATCTGTTTGTCCCTTTTTTTTTTTTTAAATGTTTTATTTATTTCTAGGAGGGAGAGAGAGAGAGACAGTGTGAGCAGGGGAGGGTCAGAGAGAGAGGGAGTCACAGACTGAAACAGGCTCCAGGCTCTGAGCTGGCTGTCAACACAGAGCCCGACGTGGGGCTCGAACCCACGAACCGTGAGATCATGACCTAAGCGAAAGTCAGACGCTTAACCGACTAAGCCACCCAGGCGCCCCTACATTATGATATTCTTAATGTGAAAAAATGACAATCATTTAACGTCTTTCCTATTTCTCCATCACAAATCTGCTCTAACAATAAAGTAATAAATAATTCTATAACATCTGTATGTTCAATTAGAACATGTATTATGACCTATATGTACATGTAGTACCATCTCATTTTGAAACCATTAACACANTGACCTAAGCGAAAGTCGGACGCTTAACCGACTAAGCCACCCAGGCGCCCCTCTGTTTGTCCCTTTTATCCTTCCAACAATCCTTTGAGAATGGAGTGATGTCTTATCCCCATTTTATAGACTAGGAAAGTGAGGCTCAGGGGAGTTCAGTCACTTTTCCAGTGTCAGACAGCACATCGGTGAAGGTGGTAGGAGCGCGAGTCAGACCGTTTGGCTCCAGAGTCTGTTTCCTTGACAACCACACGCAAAAGTCCTCAGACAGATGGCTCTGTATCTGGTCTCGTGTTAGGGTACTAGTGTGTGTGTGCGCGCGTGTGTGTTTACCCGCTACCAATGTGACTTGAGCTCTTTCTCTTTCCCATTGTGACATGAGAGGCTGCGGGCTGGGGGGCGGGGGAGCCTCCCGGCACCTGCCAAAGGTGAGCCAGTGTGCCCGGCCCCAGGCCGGCACAACTTGCTGCAGATGCCATGCTGTGTGTGTGTCTGCACGTGGTGCTGTCCCCCTCCATCGTGACTGTTCTAACCTCGGAGGGTGGCCGCCCTGAGCCTCCTCACCTTCGGGGGGTGGGGACACCATTTGATGATGAGGCCGAGCCAGCCCTGCCTGGGTGCTGGACCCAGTTACCTGTGTGCCCCCAGCAAAGACCGGTGCCCCGGCTTGTCCCCAGGCTCGGCCTTCTCTGCCCGTCCCTTGTCGCCTCCCACTGCCCGGCTTCTAGGACGGGCCCAGGCCCATCGCGGGATCTAGGGCACGTTGGGCGTTCAGTAAATCGGACGTGCCGTTCTTCTGTCTGACTCCTCCAGGGTTCAGACCCTGCAGGGCTCTGGCTGCCCAGTCGTGTTCACGTGACAATAAAAATAGTAAGAACCCCCTAAGCTGGTGGCATTTACAGAAAACACTGCTGGAACAGTGCTTATGTGTAAGATCGCAGAGCAGTTGTTTCAGCTGCTCCGTGTTGCATAATCCATCGGCCCAGGATTGGAGTTTAATTTATTCAGTATGTGCGTATGTGTGCGCACCCATGGGGTCCTCTCCGTGGACAGTATCTGGTAAACCACTTCCCGACAGCTTTAGACTGGGCTCGGGAAGGCTGGATCCAATAAAGATTAATTAGTCTGTGCAGGGCCCTCTGTTTCGTGGCGCCTCTGTGAACACCTTGCCGGGCCTCGGGGTGCAGAACCTCCCTGGGAAACTGCTGCCCTCGGGGCCACGTGAGCTGCAGGCGGGCGGAGGCAGGACAACCGAGCTTCAGCTCAATGGGGACAAGGGAACAGAGCTCCTGAGGCCTCCAGGTCATCAGGTCAGCGCCTGGCGGTACACGTCAAGCACCCGCCGTGTGCCTGGCACCCACCTTGCACACAGAGCCCCGAAGACACCTGGGAGAAGGTCCTCATCCGCGTGCTCACCTCCAGGGAGCTACCCCTGTGTGATTATGTTCTCCTCTTGCAAACCCCAGCCCCAACCCGTGAACACCCATGGAACTTCTCTTATAACCTCCGCCCGGCCTGAAAACCAGACGGTGTGGAGTTAACTCGCCTGCGGTGCTCCCAGCCGCCGGAGGTCACCAGCCCTCCCAGAAGGCCCATTATATTTGTTGCAGGGGCTGGTGTGGGAAGAGTCTGGGTGTGCCAGGGGGGGTTTGAAGGCCAGGGGGTTGCATAACCTGCCAGTTGGTAGTGCCAAGGGGCGCCCCCGCTGTGAGGGGAAGAGGCTCAGAGGATAGCTGGGGCCCTCGTTACAGGCCTGAATTACATCCCCAGAGGCCTGGGGGAAGCTGGAAGTAGGTTCTGGTTTCTGCAGTAAACTCCCCACCCCTCCACCAGGACCCAGAAGGAACTTGAAAAAGCCACGACAAAAATCCAGGAGTATTACAATAGACTCTGCCAGGAGGTGACGAGCCGGGAGAAGAACGACCAGAAGATGCTCGCGGACCTGGACGACCTGAATAGAACCAAGCAGTACCTGGAGGAGCGGCTGATCGAGCTGCTCAGGTGAGAGCCGGGGTGAGCAGCTGCCTGCCCCTACCCCTTCCCCCCTACCTGAGCTGGGTTTCTCTTTAAAAAAGTGTAGCTGTTCTTGAAAGGCCTGTCCACGGGAAAGGGGCCCATGTCCGCTTGTGCTGTGTTCTGAAGCCTCCCACACGGACAGGGTCTGCTCAGGCCCTCGGCAGCTGCGTGCGAGTGGATCTCACCATTCCCACCAGCGCGCAGCTCAGTTTGTTTTCATACTGCCGAGGAAGCGTTTGTCACAACTCTGTGTGCATAGCCACAGGAGGGGCAGTGATGTCTCCTTCCTGTAGGAATCTCTCCATCCCCTCATCCGTCTTTCACGAGCCCTTTTCCCCTTCTCCTCCATCCCACCTCCCCCAGCGCCAGGCCTCCCAAACTCCCGCACCTGCAGGTCGCAGACGGCCATCGTCAGTGTGTGAGCAGGGCCCGGCCGGGTGGGCCCTCGCGACCCAGAGGACACGCGTGCTCCGATCCTGCTGCGGGGTGCCGCGCGGGCGTCGGGCCCAGCCTGCCAGATGGCCTCACCTCTGAGGAGAAGGGGCAAGTCTGGACTTTCACGTAAAATTGGCCTGACTTTTCAAGGTGGAAAGCCGTGCAAAAAATTTTTTTAACTTTTTTAAAATGTTTTTTTATTTTATTTAAGGTTGTTTATTTGTTGAGAGACAGAGAGGGAGAGACAGCACAAGCTGGGGAGGGGCAGAGAGAGAGGGGGAGAGAGAGAATCTCAAACAGGCTCCACACTATCAGCACAGAGCCCAACACGGGGCTCGATCCATGAACCGTGAGATCATGATTTGAGCCGAAATCAAGAGTCGGACGCTCAACCAGCTGGGCCACCCAGGCGCCCCTAAAATCTTAACTTTTTCATATGGAAGTTTGCAAGTATACAAAAACAGGCCGGCCTGGGAGACCCCAGGCACCTGCCACCCACATCAGCGTCTGTCACCTGGTGGCCAGGCTCACTTCGTCCAAGTCCCACCATGTCCCTCACCACCCCAGGCTGTTTTGATGCAAATTCCGGGTATATTGCTTCATCTCCAGACATTTCAGTACGTGCTTCTCTTAAGATAAGGACTCTCCGTTTCATGCCGCCACAGTGTCATCACTGTGCTTAACTGTGCTTCCCAGTGTCACTGAGCATCTAGTCAGTTTCAGATTTTTCCTACTGCCTTACATTTTTTTCTCATGAGGACCTAGGTTAAGGTCCAGACATTGGACGGTGGCATGTTAGGTCTCCCTACTTAGTCTGTGATTTGTCCACCGTCTCTCCAACATTTTTTTTTCTCCACAATTTACTTTTGAGGAAGCTAGGTCATTCACCTGGTCGAGGTTCCCGCCGCCTGGATTTTGCCAATTGCATCTTCACGGCGTCATGTCACATGCTGTCCCGATCTTCGTTATTTCCTGTAAATGGTTAGCCAAATGAGCACTGTGACGCTCAGCCCCAACTGCACATTACAGTCCCTGGGGGACGTATTAAACTGACACCCGGTCCAGTCCTCCCCAGTCCAGCCGAACTGGAATTTCTGGGAGTGGGGCCCAGGCATCGGTGAGCTAGAATGGAGAACCACTGCTCTACCGGAGGCTCGCTCAGACCCAGATTCAAAATTTTCTCAAGAAGCTTCAGAGCGTTAGTTAATAGTTTGAGTCTTTCCTTCAAGAGCCTCCATAAGATCCGATTAGCCCATTCCTTGCGATGTTAGCAACCGCGGATGAAGCACTGCCTGAGCCTGCCAGTTCATTTGGGGCTGCAAAATGGGGACGCCAAATTACAACTGCCTGGGAAGTGTAGAACCTCTGCCCACATGTCAGCAGCTTGTGGATACGGTGCCCAGGGCGTTTATGACCTCTGAGCTCACACATCTTCCCGAGGCATGTGATGGAACAGCCCCACGTTCCAGGATATGGGTCCCTGGCCTCCTGCGGACAGAAGGGATGGGCTGTGGACCCGCAGGGAGGGCGATGCCAGTCCGCGGCATGAGTCTTCCTGCTTCCGGACAACCTGACGCTCCCTGAAGAGCCAGTCAGTCCCATGTCCTGGCTTTTATATTTAAGGGGAGAGTCTGTGGATTTGGAGCCCAGCTCGTCACTTTCTCACAGGACCTCGGTGGCTCTGGTGTTACTCTTTGGGGCTGAGGCGCTGCTCGGGCTGCCTTCACCTTAGGATGGTGGCTGGGGCTCCATCTAGGAAAGAACGAAACCTTCCCAGGTCAGAAGGCGTGGTCACAGCAACCCGGAAGCCACCGTGCACCTCTGCCCTGTGCATCAGGCGCGTTCTGACACCTGCCAGACCTTTCTGAAACACCCTCCTGTTCTCCCAGTCTTGCTTCTAGAGTACGTAGTGTCTCTCTGAGGAGGAAGGGAAATTAACATCGCACCCGACTTTCAGGCACCGACATCTTAGATCTTCTCCAATGATTACTTATTCCTTGAACAGACCATAAAAACAGAAAGGTTTCTGAATACATTTACAAATCGTGTGGGCAGTACATCCAAGGCCTTTGGGCTCAGAACACACTGGCTGTCATGTAACTGTGACAGCCTGTTATACCTTAAACTCCAGGTGACTGTGCACACTGCCGATTAGACCCCTGAGCTGTGGTGACATGTGTGGGTGCTGGCAGCTCTTCGCAGCTGCCGGAACCTCGTATGTGCACCATGGTCTCCTCAGCCTGCACACGCGTGCCGTCAGCTGAGTCTGGGACCAATGCGGGGGACAGATGAGTGTTCCCAAGTAACGTGAATTTTCCTTCCACGTCTTGGGAAATTTTGACTCTGACTTTGGATGTGATTCTGGGATCACCCTGCTGTTTTCATGCATCCTTCTCCGTTTCTGATGTGGCTTTGTCCCAGGGACAAGGATGCTCTCTGGCAGAAGTCCGATGCCCTAGAATTCCAGCAGAAGCTCAGTGCTGAGGAGAGGTGGCTCGGGGACGCGGAGGCGAGCCACTGTCACGACTGCAAGCGGGAGTTCAGCTGGATGGTGCGGCGGCACCACTGCAGGTCAGCGGGCGGGGCCCAGCGTGGGGGCCACAGCCCTGGGCCGGGCGCTGCTGTCTGTCTGGGAGGAGCCCATGACCATCTGGTCTTCAGGGAGCCAGACCAGAGGGTGTATTGGGCCGGGTCCTGACAGGACGCGCAGGGATCCCTAAAGGGGAAGAGGTTTGATACGGGGGTGTGGGCAGAGTCAAGGGGACCCACAGGGCTGTGGAGCAGCTGGAGGCCAGCAACCGTCGGCCTCCCTCAGCCTGTGGGGACCAGAGGGGAGACGCGGGGAGCTGAAGCTCTGCTGGGGGACAGACAGCAGAGACCCTCCTAGGGCCCAAAGAGGGGTAGGCAGAAGTAAATGTCCACTGGGGCCAAGGCAGGTGGGAAATCATCAGCACAGGCCTGTGGCCCCTTAGAGCCTCTGAACCCCCACGTCGGTGTGTCACAGAAAGTGGGCTCAGCCACATACTTTATCCCCTGTCTCCTGGGACCTTAGGAAATAAAACGTGGCCTCCCAGTTGGGCTTGTCAGGATGGCTTTAATCGGAATCTTACCAAACTGACCGTCAGGCCACCAGGCCAAGCTCCTAAATGGGGCAGAGCCACGTGCGACAAAAGCCGCGTCCTCACGGCCCATGCTTGTTCTACCCCAGGGTCTGCGGCCGCATCTTCTGTTACTACTGCTGCAACAACTATGTCCTGACCAAGCACGGCGGCAAGAAGGAGCGCTGCTGCCGGGCCTGCTTCCGGAAGTTCAGCGACGGCCCCGGCTCCCCTGACAGCGCCAGCTCCGGCACCAGCCAGGGCGAGCCCAGCCCAGCGCTCTCGCCGGCCCGAGCTGGGCCCCAGGCCACCGGAGGACAAGGTCGGGCTCCCGCCCCTGCCCTCCGTGTTCTTAGGCGCCACCCTTCCCCTGCCCCACCGTGGCTGGTCAGCTTAATTCAGTGGTTTCCAGACTCGCGTTAAAGACGTGCTAAAAATGTATTCCACCAATTTGAGACTTCGTTTTTATGTGGTTAGGATTGAAAGAGAATTAAAAAGGGACTAACTTTCTCCTGATACGATTCAGCATTATTTAACGCCAGGTCTGTGCACTTCTTAACTCAGTGTGCCACCTTGGAAAATACTGTCCCCAGAGCGTCAGCCCCCATAACCCAGCCCTCCCAGCGGAGCAGCCAAGGGCCAGGACATCCTTCACCTTCTCCCTGTGGTTCGCGCTGTCTCTCGGTGGCCAAGGAGGACGTAGTGTCCGTGCCCTCTCACTCTGCTCAGGAAGAGGAAGTGGGATCTGGTCCCTGCAGCTCCTGCTCTGAGCACGACCCAGCAGGGCGGGCCAGGCCGGCCTCCCAGCCACGGCGCTGTGGATGTAGACTGCCAGAGAGGCAGGGCTGGCGCAGCAGGGGCAGGGGCGAGTCTGGGCGGGGCTTAGGCAGCTCCGCTCCCTGATGCCGGTCCCTCTGGGCTCCTCCTTGGCCTCTGCCTGGGGGCAGGTCAGCCAGCCCTCAGTAACCCCCTGAGTTTCTCTTTTGTTTAACTGGATCATCAGGGAGGTTAGCAGCCCCGTTATGTATTTGGGTAGAAAGAACCGCTCAGGGACGGCGGGATGCACTGAACACAGCATTGCTGCATCTTCTTCAAACACGTTTTTAATTTTTCTAATCTATTTAAAAAAAATTTTTTTTTAATGTTATTTTTGAGAGAGAGAGAGAGAGAGAGAGCATGCGAACAGGGGAGGGACAGAGAGAGAAGGAGACACAGAATCTGAAGCAGGCTCCAGGCTCTGAGCTGTCAGCACAGAGCCCAATGCAGGGCTTGAACTCATGAACCGTAAGATCATGACCTGAGCTGAAGTCAGATGCTTAACTGACTGAGCCACTCAGGCGCCCCTTAATTTTTTTTTTTTATTAAATTTCAAGAGTCCTTTATATATTCTGGATAGAACTTATTTATTAGGAATGTGTTTTATAAATACGTTTTGTCCAACCAAAAACCTGTCTTTTCACCTTCTTTCAAATAAGGTGTATATATATATATATATATATATATACACACACACACAAACACACACAGACATCTTCTCTATTCATGCGTCAGTTGATGGACATTTGGACTCTTTCCATAATTTGGCTGTTATTGATAGCACTGCTATAAATATTGGAGTACATGTGCCCCTTCAAATCAGCACTCCTATGTCCTTTTGATAAATACCTAGTAGTGCAGTTGCTGGGCGGTAGAGTAGTTCTATGTTTAATTTTTTGAGGAACCTCCGTACTATTTTCCAGAGTGGCTGCACCAGTTTGCATTCCCACCAGTAGTGCAAAAGGGTTCCCCCTTTCTCCGCATCCTCACTGACATCTGTTGTTTCCTGAGTTGTTAATTTTAGCCATTCTGAGAGGTGTGAGGTGATATCTCATTGAGGCTTTGATTTGTATTTCCCATGGTGTGTGATATTGAGCCTCTTTTCATGTGTCTGTTGGCCATCTGGATGTCTTCTTTGGAAAAGTGGCTATTCATGTCTTCTGCCCATTTCCTCACTGGATTATTTTTGGGAGGAGCTGTTGAGTTTCATAAGGTCTTTATAGATTTTAGATACTAACCCTTTGTGAGATATGTCATTTGCAAATACCTTCTCCCATTTGATCAGTTGCCTAGTTTTGTTGATTGCTTTTTTGTTTGTTTTTTTTTTAATTTATTTCTGAGAGAGAGACAGCATGAGCAGGGGAAGGTCAGAGAGAGAGGGAGACACAGAATCCGAAAGAGGCTCCAGGCTCTGAGCTAGCTGTCAGCACAGAGCCCAACGCAGGGCTCGAACCCACGAATCGTGAGATCATGACCCGAGCCAAAGTTGGACGCTTAACCGACTGAGCCACCCAGGCACCCCGATTGTTTTTGTTTTTTTTTTCCACTCTACAGACGCTTTTTATCTTGATGAGGTCTCAGTAGTTCATTTTTGCTTTTGTTTCCCTTTACCCCTGGAGAGCTGTCTAATAAGAAGTAGCTGAGGCTGAGGTCAAAGAGGTTGCTGCCTGTTTTCTCCTGTGGGATTTTGTTGGTTTCCTGTATCCATTTACTTTTAGAATTTAGTTTGTCAACTTCTACAAGAAATCCTGAGGAAATTTTGGTTGAGGTTGCATTGAGTCTCTATATTATATTGGGGAGGATTGACATGTTAACAAAATTGAGTCTTCCAATCCATGAACATGGTATAGTTCTCCATTTATTTAAGTCTTCTTTGATCTCTCTCAGTGGATCTCTCTCATTTGGGGCGCCTGATGCTCCTTGTCCCTTCCTTCCTCATCCTCCTTCCTTCCCTCTGCCAGCCTCAGAAGGCAGGTTCAGAAGTATGTCTGGGTCTATGGAAAGAAACCAGTCTCTGGTCTCCTTTCTCAGCCTGTGTCTCAAGCCCTCATTATGCTCCTCCTAAAGCACAGCCTGTCCCACCAGCCCTGTGGCAGAGCCGGCTGGAAACTTGGAGCTCACGTGAACTGTTCTTGCTTAACAGTCCAGGGATCTCCCCTGTCCTGACTTACAGGCAGGTGTTCCAGCGATGACAGAGGGTGGCACTGTGCCAGAGTTCTGAGGTCACTTGTTTTGATTTCTGACATTTCCTGTCTCCTCATCTATCTGTATTTCTTTTTATCTTTTTTCTTTTTTCTATCTTTCCTTCTGCCTGCCTTTCTTCACCTCAGGCCCACCATCACATTTTCCATGCTGTATGCGGGAGAGTGCGTGCAGGTGGGGTGGCCGGCACAGGGACATCTATACAGCATCCTTCCTACTGAGTGGCCTGCAGAGTCAGACACAAGTTCCCCAGTCAGAAGCACAGTGGCCACTGCCACCTTGGGCAGAGGGAGGGTCTTTCCCATCCCCCAGTGGAAGGAGGTAGAAACACAGGGTCCAAACAGAATCTTGGTTTCTGGATAATAAGTCGTGCTTGTGTTTTGGGGAGCAAAGATTCAGCACCGCAGAAGTGTGTTTACTTTTCTGTTAGGTTCTTTCCTGATGAGGTTTTGACAGGTTTTTTTTTTCCCCTCTGCCCTGAATTAGAGGCCTCTGAGAATATGTAAGAGCTTGAATCTCTTTAAAGCCTGACTGAGGAGCTTCGGAGAAATCTCTTGAATCATATGTTCAGTTGCCCCCATAGTCCCCACTGCTCTCTGGAATGTCCCAGCGGCTGTCTCTCTCCCATCCAGATAGAGTAGCTGTGTGTTGAGCGGGCACTCAGAGCGTGTCCCGGCGCCCCCTCCCTGTCCTGTGCGTAACCGCATGTGTCTCTCCTCTCCCTGTCCGCCTCTGTGACCCAGGCGTAGACACTGACTGCAGGCTGCCAGATGATGCCGCGTTCGACATCATCACTGATGAGGAGCTGTGCCAGATCCAGGAGTCGGGCTCCTCTCTGCCTGAGACGCCCACCGAAACAGACTCCCTCGACCCGAACGTGCCCGAACAGTGAGTAGGCCTCACCGTTACTTCCTGTGTGCTCCTGGGTGCTAGGCCTTTGTGCCTTCGATGAAAGGACCAGGAAAGTGAGACTTTGGAAGCAGGACTGGCTGTCTTTCCTTAAGGGAAGGCACCTCAGAACAGTGCCCCGGACAGGGTCCTGGGCTTGCGGACGGCTGCCCACCCGCTGCCTCTTTACACGGTCTCCCCTCCACACACGTGCACCCCTCGTGTCTCTGTGTCCTGCTTATCCGTTAGTACTTACCTTCCACAGACCCTCTCGTGTTTCCGGGCCAGCTGGTTTCCAACAAGGTTTGTGAGGAGAGTTTTGCGAAGGCCAATTTTTAAATAATATGACATAACCGCACGAAGTGCCACCATGTTTCAGTGTCAAGAGTTTACGCCAGGGGGACCCACGGGGAAAGGTCAAGCCCCCGCCCCCCACGGCAGCCTTGCCCAGCGTCTCAGTCCCCTGATGTCGGGCTTAAATGCAGTTCCTGCAGCAAAGCACAGACTGTTCAAAAGCCAAGAAAGAATTTGCGCACCCCCCACCCCGGGTCCACTTTCCCTCGAGTTAGGGAGGTTCGTGATGCTCTTGGCCAATACCCGCACGGAGATCTCTATCCCTCTCTTCCTGCCCAGACCTCAGAGGAGGGCTAGGGTTAGTCAGCCAGGATCTCTGCCGTGAGGGAGGTGTCTAGAGCCCTCACAGAGCGCTCAGGGCAGGAGACTTTAGGCTTAGAGATCACCCTCCACATGCCTCTGTTCTTTGACTAGAGGGTGACTGGACTCTCGTGCCGTAGCCTCATGGAGAGAGCCCCCAGGCCCCCCAGCCCGTAGGCCCCAGTGCGCTGCTGCTTCCGCGCCCTTGGACCCGCCCGCCTCCCCTCCTGAAGCCCCCCGACCCCACAGCCTGCAGGGTTCCCCCAAGGGCACTGAGCCACTCAGCACCATCCCCTGGCAGCCGCACTCCCTGCCAGGCGGTAGGTGGTGAGGGGAGCAGGGCCGGGCGCTCCGGGCCTGGGACGGCCTTTGGCTGTCGCCTGCAGGACAGAGTGACCCCCTGCAACTCCCTCTTTCCCTCACCCCTCAGCTTCCCCTTTCCCAGTGAGAACAAAACCAGAAGGCACTCTGACCGCTGACAGATACCTGTGTTTCAGTCCTGAGGAATCAGGAAGTGTTCCAGGGATGGGAAGCGGCCGGCTTGCTGCCCCACATCCCCAGCGTGGCTCCGGGCCTGGCGGGAGCCTGCAGCGCCTGCGCCCCCACCCCATCAGCTAAGGGCCTGCAGCCTCACCCGCTGCCTCTGGGCATCAGAGATGACCCAAGTGTCTCTGGCAGCTTTGTCGTCCGTTCTTTCTCTTCCTAAGTCTAAGAGCAGTCAAACACCAGACCCCTGAGGAAGCACGGGCCGTCTCGAGCCCTGCATTTGTGTCAGCCTCCCTGATGGAAAACTTAGAGAAAGAAATCAGTTTCAAAGTAGGAAGGGATGGAACACCGGGTGTGTCCACATCCACGGGGGAAAGAAGGCTGCCTGGAGGCGGTGTTGTTGACAGCCACTCTGCCCAGCACCCTCCCTGTGTGGCTGCCTCCACGTGTGGCCTCACTCGGCCCCTGTCCAGCCCTTCAAGCCTTAGGGATTATGGTTCTCATGTTACAGGCAAAGCGGCTGAAGCCTCAGGAGGCCGGATAAGCCGCTCCAGGGCACGGGGTTGTAAGTGTCAGCACCAGCCTTTGTGCCCAGAACCCCTCCCTCCGTCCACAGCCTTGGGTTCCTTCTGAAGAGTTCATTTCTCTTCTTGGGGCCCCACGTCCCCGTGCGCACATCAGAAGCCTGTCCACTCCCCACCGCGCCGCAACGTGTACACGCTCTGAGGGTAATGAAGTTGTCTGCCTCGCCCCTCCTGGCAGTGAGGGGACAGGCACAGGTCCCCACGGCCCTGAGCAATCTCCCACTGGCCCCCACACATGGCTCAGAGCCAGGATGGTGGCGAGAAACAGAAGCACAGCCCCTCACCTGGGGAGGAAAGGTGGCACTCTTCAGAGCCCTCCAGGTAGGCCTGTCTACACCCACTGTCTACACTCAGCCAGGCCCTCGCTCGGCCTTCTCCAGGGGCCAAGTGTCCATCTGTGCTCGGCACCGAGAAGGCAGGCAGGAATGGGAAGAAAACTCTTGTCCACCAGCAGCAGGGCTGGGCCTTGGGTCCCTTGGCCTCCGCTCCGCTTCCACCCTGGCCTGCCCTCCCCCTCTGGTCACCAGATGAGCAGCTATGAGGCCGTGAAGAGCTTGAGCTCTGGACTCAGACACCTGGTCAGAGCATGAGCTGCCCCCCCCAGGTTCCGCGGCCTTCTGAACTCAGTTCCCTCCCCTAGAAGAGAGGGGGACCATCCCCCTCGGGGACCGGTAGGAAGATTCGATGAGAAGGACGTGTGTAAAGCGCCAAGCCCATGCCTGGCACCTGAGTGGCCTCCCATGGAGGTGCCTGGTTCTGTGATGTTCCGTGTGTCTTGTGATGCCGAGCCAGGCCCGTTTCCTTCCTGCTTATTCCTAGTACCCCCGTACTTCTCCAAGGAAAACCTCTCCCGGTGCCCAATGACACTGAGCTAAACCCGAGACTGTCCCTGAACCACCGGGCGCCTTTGCCAGTAATTGCTTTATAACTTGTACTTCCTGGTCACAGTGCCTTGCGGGGCTGTGGTGAGTTGAGCACCAGCCAGGAGGTGCGATGCCTGTATCTCAGAAACAAAATGAGAACAGGATATGGTAATAATGGTTACGGTTAGAAAGCCACCTTGTGCTCAGGTTAACCCGGCGGCTCCGCCTTCCTGAGGAGGACAGAGCCAGCGGGTACCTTGAGACCATCCGCTGCAGGAAACGCCAACACTTGGGGACAGAGAGAGAGTCCGTTCACCGGAGTCCTAGCCCCGGCTGTGCTGCGTGAGCTCTGAACCAGTCTCCTCACCTGAAACATGGGGATGCGGGTGCCAGGCCTCCCACTGCCCGGCGTTGGGAGTTACCACGGACCGCGGAGGACCGGGCACATGAAAGAGGCACTGCCCGGGGGACCCCTTGGTGGAGGAGGTCAGAGCAAGCACCCCCTCTGCTCCTGGACCCCGCCAGCAGGGCGGCTTCAGCTGTTTCTTCCCCGCAGCTCCAACCCCTCCATCCAGAATGCTCACTGAGATCACCTGGGCCTCTGGCTTCCAGGCGGCCCCTGGAATCAGAGTCACCCCATGTTCGTCACATGTCCTTGCAGCCTTCCGGGACCTCTAAGCCCGCGGAAGGGTCGGGAACACGGTGAGGGAGTGGCTTGCCCCCAGGCCCCGAGGCCACGCCAAGGCAGCCCGGCCCGCCCTTCTGCAGCCCCCCACCACCTGCGTCCCATCGTGTGCTCGTGCGTGTGAGCAGTGGCAGGGGGAGGAGCAGAGCAGGAGTGAGGCCAGGAGCCAGGCTTCGTGGGGCTGTTGTGTGGACAGGACGAGGTCAGGACGTAACAGCCCTCTGTTACCTACGTGGGCCGCGCTGGCCTCTGTTGCCAGCGCTGCTGTGTCCCCAGGGGAGGGCCTTGAAAAACCCCAGCTCTCAGGTGCAGCAGACGGGTCCAGAGAGTCTAGGGCCAGGGAGTGACTGAGAACACAGGGAAGGTAAAGGAAGAGTCGGCTGTTGTGCTGTTCCCGTTTTCCTAAGGCGTAGAAGGAGGGGCACAGCCTTTGTGCAGGGGGCCTGGAGAGAGGGCCGATGACCAAGGCCTGGGGGAGGGGGGCTGGGAACAGCCCGACGGGTGCCTGGCCTTGTGGGCTCAGCCTGGCAGGCCCTGGCTAGGGAGGTCCCAGCGGCCCGGCAGCCACCCCTCTGTTGCCTCGGCCACGCAGCCCCCAGCGCGGCCCCAGCGAGCACCGTCCGGGCCTCACGAGCGCTCCTGGAGGGCGGGCTGCCCGTGGCCAGCGGTGTGGAGGCTGAGCAGCTCCCCCGAGCATGTGCAGGCCGGAGCAGGCCCGAGCCCGGGTCTGAGTGACCCGGAGCCCTGCTTTGCCCGTCACGCCACACAGCTTCCCGTGCGGAGGTGCGGTGGGGCCCCCGGCTTCCTGCCTCTTCACGTCCTCCTTTCCAGGTGGGGCCTCTGTCTCGTTCTGGGGAAGTGAGGGGCTGGGGGCCCCTGTGTCAGAGGTGCTAAGCCTTAAGGTGAACACACGGGGAGGGGAGGGGGGGGTAAAAGAAACTCCTATTTTGAAGCCGGTGTGTTTGTTTTTTTTTTTTCCTGTTGCTTTTTTATTTTGGTGTTTGAAGCCAATTTAAAGAAGATAAAATACAGCCTTATCACCACAGAAAGGGCAGATTTTGTGTGCGAGGAAGCTCTCAGTCCACGGGGCCTGTGTACAGTGAGCCACTGCCCTCCAGGGTGCATTTAGGCACAAGTGCGAGACGGTAGGAGGGTCCCGTGGGCCCTGTGAGGCCTGGCCTGGGCGCAGCTGGACCAGGGTGGGGGTGGCACGCCGGGAACCCCTCCCGTGCCTTGCCAACTCCCCTAGACAGGCCTGCGGCTTCCGCGTGCCGCTAGGTCTTGAGCTGCCATGGCCGTCTTTGGGGCCCTCCCACCCCTGAATGCACGCCACTGTCCCAAGGCCCCCCCCACACCAGCCCCCAGAAGCCGGGGCACTCCTGGCCCGTGTCTCACCAAAACAGAAGAGATTACGAGATTACCAGCTGCTCAGGCTCACCAGTGAGAACCAGGGCTAGGACTCCATGTCCAGCCCCCACCGCCGCACCACTGAGCCAGGTCCCGCCCAGCACCCTGCCTATGGGCTCCAGCTCTCTCTCACTGTAGGTGATTGGGCCCCTCCATTTTTGGTGAGTGGTTTTGCAAAGCATGAGCCTGAAAGGCAACTTTAAGCCAATTGAGCAGATCGCTCCTGGGATCTAATAAACATACACAAGTGTCTGACATTTAGAACTGCTTCATCGTGTGACCATATAGTGGAGGTGACACAAATGTACCTCACATTTTGGGCAGGAGGTTGAAAGCCACAGTGAAGGAACGTTATCACTGGTATATTCCATTTCCTTGATAGAGCCGTGCCCTCAAAGTTTACAATTTTAACTGCTTTCCCCATGCTCTGAGCTCATAAGTAATCACTTCTAGTATGCTCCAAGCATACTGCATTTAAAGTAAAATGTGCCTAGGGATAAACACAGCTTGGAGACTTTAAAAAGGGTTTTATTTCGTAGTCGTGAAAATCATATGCCGTTTGACATGCGTGTGTTCGTATCCTATCTACCCCAATACATGATTTATCTGCATGCGAGCATGTCGGGCGTCGGACAGTTTGGCTCTCAAATGAGCACACCCACCCAAAAATCCATTTCAGAAGTGCTTCTGAGATCCATGAGAGTCGGGAACTCTGCACGTTTTCCTGGCATTCTGTGCACCGCTGGGATCCTCAGTCGACTAATTCATTTGGGCCCATTCATGCCTCCTGGTGTGCCTCCTCCCAAGATTAATCAAAAAGAATATAAGCGTCTCTCTCTATAAAGGCGCAACCCCAAGGTGAGGCAGAACCTGATCTCATTTCTGTCGGGTGCCTGGCGATTGAGGGCTGAGCCAGACAGACCAGCCCTCGTCCCGGCTGTTCCGATCTCCCTGCTTCCCAGTGGCCAGAAGAATCTTCTATACTAGGGAGCCTGGAGTATCACCTGCCCCCAGCAGCTTTGCAGGCCATGCTCCCCTCCTCAGCGTCCAGTCCCAGCCCCTACGAAGGAGAGCCTAAGGTCTCAAGGGTCACTCTTCATTCCCTTGACAGCATTCTTGGGGAGGGTGGAAGGAAAGTCCTTCTAGGTTTTAGAGCGCTGCCCCCCCAACCCTGAGCTTTAGGCCTGAGGGTTCGAAAATAGAGCGGAGTGTGTTCATGCCCAAGAAGCAGGGTCCTACGCCACCTGCTATTTGCCTTCTCCGTGACAATGAGCAAGCCATAAACCAAGCCTTCCTCGTCACGTCCAGAGCACATGGCCCCACTGCTGTACGCTCCGAGTGGCTCTCCGAGCCCCAGGCGGGGCCTACAGCTGGAACATGCTGGTGGCCTCCACGTGATGAGAGGCAGAGCAGGTCTTGGAGGCCTCCTCGGAAGACTTCCACTGACTTGAGGTGCCCAGGTAAGGGGGGCAGCCAAGGTCTTTCATGAGCTTCCAGAAGTTCCTCCGAAACTTCAAGCCAACGAAGGCATAGAGCACGGGATTCAGGCAGGCCCGCAGGTAGGCGATGGCCTCCGTCACGGTGATGGCGTAGTGGAAGCTGGTCATGGTGTGGTACTCCCAGCTCGTGCTGCGGATGAGCTTCACCAGGTTGAAGGGCGTCTGGGTCAGCAGGAACACAGCCACCACCAGGAAGATGACCTTCAGAGACTTGTGCTTCTTGAAGCCTCGGGCACGAAGCAGCGTCTTGACAATGACAGAGTAGCAGAACACCATGGTGAGCAGGGGCAGGAAGAACCCCAGTGTCATCTGGGTGGCAAGGACCACCGTGGAAATCTCCTCGTTGTGATAACCACAGACGAGCTTGTCGAGATAGAGGACGTTGCCGTAGATGATCTGCGGCAGGGAAAGCAGCAGGGAGGTCAACCAGATGAACACGCAGATGGCCTTGCCCCAGACCATCCGCCTCCCCTGCTGGTTGTAGGCCTTGGTGGCCCGAACCACCGCAATGAAGCGGTCTATGGTGATGCAGGTAAGGACGAGCATGGACGTGTAGAAGTTCAAAGTGTAGATGCCCAGCAGGGTTTTGCACATGACGGTGCCGAAGGCCCACTCGTGGATGCTCGCGTAGGCCCAGAAGGGCAGGGTGCAGACAAACACCAGGTCGGCCAAGGGCAGGTTCATCAGGAACACGTCCGTCAGACTCTTCAGCTTCTGGTAGAAGATGTAGATGACGAGCACCAGCACGTTCCCCACCAGGCCACAAATGAACACCCCCAGGTACATGCAGGGCAGGAAGACCTTGCGGAACTCCAGGAAGCGCTCGTGCCCCTCGCTGCTGTCGTTGGATGTGTTGAAGAAGCCGGGGTCCACGTAGTCCTCCTCCGCCATGACGGGCGTCTGGCCAACACCTGGGAGGCACACACAGGGACTCTGAGCAGGGCCGAGGGGGGACAGCTCCTGTCCTCCCACAGCCCTGCTGCTCCACTTTTAGGGGGCACACAGACCTCTCCTGAACCCACCTGAATCCAGACAGTGGAGCTGAGGAGCGATTGGCCCGAGAGCCACCCTTAAGTAGCCCAAAAATTCTGAGGCTCTCACCCAACCTCAGGGACATGACTGACCCCCACGCACTATCCGTAAAATCCTGTGCCAACTGGTCTTGAAGGCAGAGGTCACCACGTGCTGGAGTGTGGGCAGAACTGCAGAACTGCTTTCTTCTTGTTTTTTACTTTTTTTTTTTAATGTTTATTTTTGAGAGACAGACAAACAGAGCACAAGCAGGGGAGGGGCAGAGAGAGAGGGAGACACAGAATCTGAAGCAGGCTCCAGGCCCTGAGCTGTCAGCACAGAGCCCGACATGGGGCTCAAACTCAAACTGCAAAATCATGACTTGAGCTGAAGTTGAAGTTTAACCGACTGAGCCACCCAGACGCCCCGAGAAACGCTCTCTCATGGGCAGGCCTGGCTTCATCCGCCCATCCTGTGCCTCATTTCTGTGGAATTAGACCCCTGAGCTGCTAACTGTGGAAGCTAAGGTGCGTATCCCCTTCCCTGGGGGCTCCACCGTTGAGAAGACTTCTGCAGACCAGCAGGGGCTCCCAGGAGGACCGGGACCTTCCCGCCTGGGTAGACAGCCCGTCCTGTCTTTTCTCGCCCTCTGCTGCCCAGATTCAGGCACTGGGGAAAGGGGCGTGGGAAGCGGCGGGCTGCCCGGCACCAGCACAGTGGCTGAGCCGGTCACGACCAGGGCCAGGACCAGGACAGGGCAGCTCTCTGCCTAGCCCCGCCCCTCATCGCCTGTCACACGACACTCCACCCCCAGAGCGTGGTTTCCTGAAGGCTTCTTGATCTCCAGGAACCTCTTAAATGGAACATTTCCCCAGAAGGGAACATTACTTTAGCTTTTGTGACTGGCATTCTTGCCCAAGGGGTCTCCTTGAACCAATGGAAGGTCCACTTGCGATGGGCCGCCGAATGGGTGGACTCCCGCAGTGGGGCCTGCGGCCAGCCTTGCAGTAAAGCGGGCGGGGAAGGGACCACAGAGCCGCCTGTCTTGCCTGGGGCTCGCGGCCTTTTAAGACCGTCACCTCCCCCTGCCCTATGACCCTGCCCAGGAGCACAGACAGGACGCGAGGAGCTTGGGAGCAGAGGCACAGAGGCGGCTGTGGCAGCACCAGCCCTGCAGGCCAGGTCACTGACCTGCAGATAGCACGCATGCAGAGGCTCGTTTCTGGTGACCCAGGGCCATGCCTAGCTAGCACCTCAAGAAGGTGTTATTTGGCTTAGTGAAGGCAGAATGTCAGCCAGCCAGACAAGGGCACATACAAGGAGAGAGCATGCCTTCCTTTCTGATCGGCTTGACAGTTCCTCATCCTCACTGGAGATGGTGGCAGCCCTGGCGCTGCCGCCTCTGTCCTCCTGGGGACACAGTGCCCTTTCTCTCCAAGGAGGAGCCTCTCCTTTGGGATAAGATGCCTCAGTGAAAAGCCCCTGCCCTTCGAGCCACAAGATGAGGATGTGTGTGTGTTCTTGCTTCACGCGGGGACGAAAACATTTTTTTCATCACCTAGCACACGCACCGGGTGGCTTTGCTCTCCTTAAGAATAACATCCCACCTCCATTATTGCCTGACTTCCTCTGGCCTTTTTTAAGAAAATCCCCTTGATGCTGGCATTACACGTTTCCTTGAAGGGCCCCTGCAGATTCACTTGTGCCAATCAGCAAACTTGGTGCTAACATTGTGACCGCACAGTTCTGTACAGATTGAATGACTAAAAATGAGTTTCCCTCCTAGAAATGTTAAAATCATTCATCTCTTTGTCTTGAGTAGCCGAAACCCTGTGTCAATCTATCTATGCAACTTTTTTTTTTTTAAAGAACATTGTATTCTGCTTTGAATGCAGTGTAAATGACTGATACTAAATAAATTAGCAAGTTACAATCCAGACAGAAAACAGAATATAGCCCGAACGTTTAGGAAGTGCTTTTCATAATCCTGGGGGAGGCAGCACGCTTAAATTGCTCACACCAGTGACCACAAAGTAACTGCACGGTTAGCAGTGGCTGTTAAAGTATTCCAATGAGTGGAAGACCAAGAGAATGTAGAATTGGTCATGATTCTTAACTTTGATCATAAACCCCTTTGAGAATCTCCTAAAAGCTGCAGGCCTTTTCCTCAGATGTGCACAGTAAGTTCTGAGGCTTGTAAGCCCCTTGAGTCCCTCTGCCGTGTACTCTGGGGACCCTTGATGAGCTCTATGGTTTTGACTATATATGTATATATATACACATATGTACATTGATTATACACACGCATGCACATACACACACACACACACACACACACATATGTAGGCTCTACACCCAACGTGAGGCTTAAACTCACAACCCTGAGATCAAGAGTTGCATGCTTCACGACTGAGCCAGCCAGGTGCCCCAATTTTGACTAATATGTTTTAAAACATTAAAAAAAAACAAAACAAAACCCAGAAATGATCAGTAGGCTTGCTGTGGAATTAGGGATGACTTCTTGCCCTTCCCCCTTTATGTTCCTCTCTCCTTTCCTGAGGTTTCTACAGTGGTACATTGACTTACACTGAGAACAGAAAATAGCCAGCCACCTGAGAGAGCGGCTTGTGTTGTAAGTTACAATGCAAAAGAAATGAAAACAGAGAACAAGAGATTATTCTGTAACCAGATGTGGACAGTGGCCAGGCACCCCTGGTCTCCCGGGGAGAGGGTGCCCCCAGCGCCGTCAGCTTATAAGCCCAGACCGTGTGCCCAGAACCACGTTCAGTCATGCCCACAGTTCTCTATTGCGGGGCAGAGGTAGAATTCGAACCAAGAGCTGCCAGGCCCAGAAGTCCGGGCGTTTACGCCGTACTGCGCCGCAGGCAGGAATCAGAGGCCCCTGGTGAGCCGGGGTAGCCCCTGCCTTTGTAACTCAAAAGAAGACAAGTGACTCACCAGCGGAGAGGCGCTGTCGATTTATTGCAGCACTGAGCTCGTTCACAGCACCGAGGTCTGCCTCTACCTCTCTGTGATGTGGTCCGTGTTTCCGTTGAATATCTTCTGAGAGCCCTTGGCTGGTGATCATGAGAGATGCGCCTGCCCCCTGCCTCGTACATCAGAATCCACATGACCAGCCTACACCCGTGGAATTTGGGAGGTCAGATGGGAGGTCCGATGCCCTACCCCCCTGCTGCCTGGCCATGGACGTAATCATCTGTCAGAACTTGAGAGAGTTTCGTTTGTAAACGGAAGGGGACCAATAAGCAGGTCTGAGCCCGGCAGCCCACGGAAGGTGGTGGCATTTGTGCCCTAAAATTACTTCATTCACTAGTCCTGTCTCTTTGGAAGTGCTTGGGTCTGGACCGCTGCAAAGCGCGTGCTGTGGCCTGGGTTCTGGGTACACGTGATTCTCGCTTGCAGCAGCCCTGCAAAGTCCGTCTTATCCCCACTTTATAGATGGAAACACTGAGGACCCCAGCCACAATAACAGCCCCGCGTGCACATAGCTCAAAACAGGCACTGCCAGGACACAAACTCAGGGCTCTGTCATTGCCAGGCCAGTGGGCCGGAGGGCCTGATGCAGCCCTCCCCCCCAAACCCACACGGCTTGCACACCCGGCTTCTCCTGGCTACAGTCCTCTGACTCCCCGAGGTTGCCCCCACTCTTGGAACTCCCCAGATACCGGCCACCTAGTTGATCTCTGACCCAGAAACGCTGACACTTCTGGGGAAGAACGCCGGGGAGGCAGGAGCCACAGGAATGCCTGCCGGGGCCACGTTCCCCAGCTCCTTACTCCGGGGAAGGGCTGCTGCATAGAGGCGTGGACTCCATTTGTGCTCTCCCAGAAGCAATGACTCTCGTGCCAAGTCACCGAGCCTCCCCACCCCCACCCCATGCAGCCCCCTCCCGCCCTGGCCGCGGCATGTCTGCTGGGCACACGGGTTCCTGCAGCTCTTGCTAAGGGCAGCGTGTCAGGCTCGGCCCCAGGATGCAGGGGCCAGCCCTCAGGTCCACTAGGAGCCCAGCTCTGCGCTCGGTGCTTCTCACCTGGCCGTCCAGCCCTCATTCTTTACAGAGGAGTAAGCGGAAGGGTTGAGAGAGGAGCTCACCTGCCCAGGGGCAGTCAGGTCCCCCCGAGTCACCCAGGATCTGGCTGGCTGGAGAGCCTGGGCTCCCAGCCCTGCTTGCAGGGTGTGGAGCTGCCCCAGGGGGTCCTCACAGAGGCTTTGGGGACCGCTGGTGGATTTCCAAGGCCTTTTTGAATGAGCTAGTTCAAACTCTTCCCCCCCACCACGCTGGCACGCATGCACAGGATGCCCCCGAGGGCAGGAGCCGTGGGGCTCTACGGAGGGTCTGCCTCTGGACAGATGGTGGGTGGACTCAGGGGCCAGTGGACGGCCAGCAAGTGAACGGGCTGGACCAAACGCCTCGGGGGGGGGGGGGGGTCTGGGGGCAAGGCACCCACCCTCTGAGACCTTTTAAGACAAGACATCCCTTCAGAGCGAGCCAGCCTGAAGGGATTTGGTTTTCTTTGAAACCAGACTCTAAACATCTCACGGGCAGCTACCCAGGCATAGGTCCTAGACGTCCCCCTAGAATACGGACACACTTTCCGGGCAGAACTGGGGGGAAGAATGGACAGAAGGCAGCGGCCACGCCTGCTGCAGATTTGTCTTGGAAGTCAGAGCGCGCTGACCTGCTCGCTCTTCCGCACCCCCGACGGTCCCATCCCAGGACCCCGGAGCGAGGCGGCCCCTGCCGGCGGGAGTCTAGCTGCAAAGCAGTGGAGGATGAGTTAGGACCGAAAGCCTCAGAAAAATGGCTCGACCGGTGAGCTGGGAGCGGCGTGCCTGGTGACACCCAGCTCTTGGGTCTGAGGCTGGGCAACTAAGTACCAGAAATCACCATACCGACAGGTGCTCTCTTCATCACTTGGTACCGGGGCAAAAAGAAAAACTACCGGGAATTTACTTTTAATAGTAAAATGTGGAAATGCCCGCAGGTCCCACACTGAGCGCGGCTCCCGGCACGCCTCAGCCCTGCGCTCCAAGCCCGCGCTGTTCGCTAGCAGCATCTGCGAGGACGGACGTGCCCTGTGTCTGCGCTGTCCCCACACAGTGGCCGTGGGACACCTGAAGTGCGGCCAGTGCAACCAAGGAGACAAATTGTTGGCTTTTTAAAGTTTTTGATGAATTTGAGTTTAAATGGCCCCGCCAGGCTGGCGGTGGCTGGATCGTGCAGCGTGTCGTAAGCAGAGATAGAAGCTGGCCTGGGGGCTGTGCGTCCTGGGTAGTCAGGCGCAGTGGGAAGGCTGCTCGGCGAGGCTGGGGCTAGGAGCACTCTGAGGAAGGATGTCAGTCAGAGACCTAGGGCCACCAGGGCTCTTCAGGCCCCCTTTCCGTCCTCAGCCAATCCCAGCAGCCAGAGGACCTGCTCCCCCCGTCAGTTTGCAGGATCAACATTGTACAGTAATTAAATGAAGAAGGCAGGCATTTTGATTTGTGAGTGGAAACTGCTGTGGAGACCAAGCCGGGGAGGTGGGGGGCAACCTGTGACCCCTCACCCAGGCAGGCGCCAGCCCCCAGACTGCATCACCACGAGTTTCCTCACCATCCGCCCGGTCTGTGGCCACCACTTTATTCTTAACTTGGTTCTAAAACGGAGCCTTGGTCTTGTCCTCTGTTGTGGGCATTTGGGACAGAAGCCCACCTCACCCGGGGCACGTAATTTAGATGTTTACTGAGCATAGACCATGTGTGGGGCAGGACCCCTGGGGGATGCCCAGGTGACCAGCCCCAGAGGGTGGAGCAAGTTGACAAACAGGCGTGCAAGGCTCGAGACAAGTGCAGTCCTCCTGACTGCAGGCTCTGGACGGACACTCAGCAGGAGATGGTATGTGTCGTTGGTGGTCACCATTGATAGCAGTAGGCTCCCGTGGCCGGAGCAAGGAGAGGAGGAAGGGCCCTGTGGGCAGTGAACTTGTCTCATCTTCTCAGAGAGAAACACCCCAGTGGCATCAGAAGCTAATTGTTCTGGGAGGAGATCGGGTGCCCCCTAGTGGCCTCACTTGTGTTCCCTGGCATTCAAGCTTGTTTTTAATCCTCTGATTTGATTTTAAGTTTTGTTTGAATCCTAATCGAGAGGAGTCGCTTTCCCACTGCGTCCCACAGTAAGAGGACACGTTTCACAGGACTCCCCAGGGTGTGCGTGCGTGGACAGGCAAAGCGAGAGCCTCGTGGGGCAGTACCAGCCCTCGCAGCATGCAATATACTCTTGCTCTGGTGCTTTGTTTCTTCCAGCATTGCTCATAACTTACTACATCGACTCATGACCCCACTAAGCAGGTCGCGAACCTTTGAAAAGCCCTCGAGAGGAACCCCCTGTGCCCCTAATCGTTACCCTCAAGAGGGCGTCACCCACCCACGCCCGCCTCACACAGCTCCCTCACGCGGGCCTCGGCCTGGGCCAGCAGGGGCTGAGGTAGGTTCCCTACCCTGGCACGCATGTGCCCGCAGGCAGTCGGGCTTGTGGTCAGAGCCGGGGAGCCGAGGACGCGGAGGAACAGCAGGGTAGGACGTCTTCTGTCCCCAGTGCTGGAAGCCAAGAGAACCAGCTACAGCGTCAGGGTTTAGTCCAACCCCAGTTGTTCGTTTCTCTTGCACGGTGTTTCCACTCTGGACAAGGATGAAGGCAAATGGCCTGAGGCAGGCCTGAGTCCGCTCCTCAGGGTCCCCGTATCCGTGGCGGTCACGTGGGGGTTGTATAGTCCGCCCCTTGAACAGCCTCTCGCACTGACATTCTGTGATTCTGCTTCTCCCCGGGGAGGGGTGGGCAGGTCTGGAAGCCAGTGGCTGCAAGAGCAGCAGAAGGAGGAGCGGCCAGGGAGGAGGAAGAGCAGCCAGGGGCTAGGCTTGCCCTCCGTGGCGGCGGGCCTTCCCTGGCGACAGCAGAGGAGGCCCGCGGAGGCGTCCTTTGAAACACCCAACCTCTCACCTCTGCGCCGCGCCGCCTGGGGAGCCCACTTGTTCATCCCCTTCGCCCACATGGAGAAGTGAGAACAGACCTCAGAGGACGGAGGGGCACCCAGAGTCACAGCCATAGAGCCAAGGCTGGAACCACCTCGGAGTGATGACCCCGCCGGGGGCCACACGGCCCCTCCAGCCTCTGGAGCGCCCACTGCTCAGGCCTCACGGCGCGCCGCCCCTGCAGGGCAGGCGTCTGTGAAGATGCACTCTCCCACTCACGCCGGACCGACGACTGTGCGCAGACAGCCGCAGCCGGGCAGCTGGGTGCCAGTGGGTGTCTGGTTATCTAGGCAGCCCTGGCGGCTCCCGGTGCCTGAGAGCAGAGTCTCACCCCCAGCGGCCTCCGCCGTCTGGCAGCCATCAGGGACAAGGCAAGACATGGAGCTAAATGCCAGAGGGGCTGCTGGGCCTGGTGGTGAGCGGGCGTGATGTCTGCCTGTTTTGTGCTCAGAGGCTTCTCCCTGGGCAGCACCTGCCCAGGACAGAGAGGCCTTATAAAGCAGCAGTGGGCCACGCCGTGTGTGCCCCGGTCTGCATCCTTCCGGAATCTGTCCTCGGGTCTTCCCCTGGTCCGCATTTCTCTGCTGTCTTCTGAATTTACATATGAGCAGTTTGCACCCCCACGTCTGTTGCACAGCAAGCAGCGTGGACCCTGCGTGGTTCCCGCAGCCGGGCCTGTGTGGTGGGGACAGCCCAGCGCAGCCCCTGCTTCCAAAGGCCCTCAGCCTGAGGAGAGAGACGACCCAGAGAGAGCAGGGCCGTGATAGACGGGGTGCAGGGAGGAGTGGGATGGAGGGGCACGCAGGGTGGGAGGGGGCTGCATCTTCTTGCGGACCTGCCCACGGGGAAGCCCCGGAGTCATTGCCCAGAGTCCGCGTGCCATCCATGCAAGCGTACCTCCATGTATGGCAGGTGCCCCGCCCCCACAGGTGAGTGACAGCCAGGACAGGCTTGGTGGAGACCCACCAGATGCTGCCCTCTGGGAACCATGCCTTAATGCCCAGGCGTGGAGGTCCCCTGCTGCTCAGGGGCACCTTCAGGTAGATGGTCTGCAGCCGCTCCCCACAGGCACATCTTGCCTCCTGACCCATCGATGTCGGGGCCTCTCCCTGTGGAAGGGTGAACATCCCACCCCCGTGGTCATGGTCATAGTCGTAGGCTTGGCCGTGGGACTAGCCTGGCAGTGAAATGTGAGCAGAGACGAGCTGAGAATCTCTTCCCAAGCAGTGGTGCTAACTGCCATCTCCAGATAGGAGCTCTGAGCCCCAGCTGATGTCCTCTTGAACTTCTGATGTCCCAGAGGCGGTATCAGGTCAGGTCCTGAGCCCAGGCAAACGCGAGGACTGGCTGGGAACGCTGCAGAGCCTGTCCCCAGGCGTGGCTGAGGGTGGCCCACCACGGCGCCAGGACTGCGCCATCAGCCAGGCACGCCAGTTTTCCAGCACCTGGAGTGCAGCCATGAACTTGGTGCCCAAGCGAGTGTGAAGGTGGTGGCAGGGGGGCCGTCTGAGCACTTGGTCTGGATGCTTGCTGCCGGCGGGTGACCTTGCACGTGCTGCTGTGTATGCTGAGACCCCCTTCAGGGCGCTTCCAGCTGTGTGTGCGTGTACACACACATGAGCTGTCTCAGGTGGAGGTGTTTGTGGGGCACGGCCCATGCCCGAATCAGTGTCCTGTGTGGTGCCCACCCCAGCACGGACCGGGGCTGACCCCTGCAGGCACTCAGCAGCAGGTGGGGTGGGGCAGGACTGAGTTCATTCAGGTGCCTTCAGGGCCTTGGAGGTCGAGTGAGTGTCCCCTGGGACCAGGGGATGTGGTTTGGGGCGCACGGACCTCACCCCAGAGACATTTGGGGAGAGCCTTCCAGGGCAGTTGAGAAGGGGCTTATTGCAACATGTGGGGAAGAAGCTGTGCCAGGTGGGAGATCCTCCGTATTAACACCTCCCCATGGGGCAAATGGTTCTGTCCTGGGCATACGTTCCCTCGTAGCAGAACCGCGCACTGCAGCTGGTTGGGCCCTGGCTGGGCCGGGCGCTGGGGCCGGGCAGAGACGAGCAGTGAGCAAGAGTCAGGATGTGGGGCCTGGTTCAGGAGGGGCTTACAGTGTCCCACGATCAAGGCACCCAGGTGGCTCAGTTGGGTAAGCACCTGACTCTTGGCTTTGTCTCGGGTCATGATCTCATGGTTCGTGAGTTTGAGCCCTGCATCAGGCTCTGTGCTGGCAGTGCAGAGCCTGCTTGGGATTCTCTCTCTCTCTCTCTCTCTCTCTCCCTCCCTCTCCCTCCCTCTCTCTCTGCCCCTCCCCTGCTCATGTTCTCTCTCTCTCTCAAGATCAATAAAATTTAAAACTTCACAAAAAAGTCCCACAATTGAATAGATATAGGAACACTGGCATTAGATCCAGTAGATGACTTTGCCGCAGGACTTTCTAGAGCCTCGAACTTACTATGTGAGAATGTGGACTCTACGAGAGGGTGTGTGCTGCCTCGCCCCTGGCCCCAGTCTCCCACAGGCACTGCCAGGCGGCTCCCACCACTGGCTCTCGGTGCCGCTGAGAGTGGGCTGTGAGGGAAAGAGGCGACGTGGATGTGGCTTAGGCCCACTCTCTGCCCATGGCTCTGCCCCACGGCTCCCTCCTGGCCCACCGTTCCCTGGGTGTCTGGCCCTGTTCTGAGATGGGCCAAGTTCAAGCTTGGCTCTCACGGCCAAGTGTCAGCCCAGGGGGACCCCCAGGGCTGCGCTGGCGGCGGCAGGGTAGGAGGGCAGTCCGTTTGGGTTGTGGGAGGCCCCTCCCCACACCCCCCAGAACCATGGCAGGGAAACCATTACGGCCCCGTTGCCTTCTCCCCATCCTGCCTGCCTGGCCTCAGCCCCTCGCCCCTACCTGGAGAGCCTGCCGCAGCCCCTGTCGTGGCCTCTGACTGAAGGACCCCATGCAGTCGAGCTGGGCCACATGACTCCAAGGCTGTGGGATCCCCAGGTACCAATGACTAAAATGGCTGTGTTCTTGTGTGTAATGTTTCAGGGACACCATGTCAAACCTGCTAACCCCCGAGGACACGGAAGGCATGCCGTTGGGGCAGGATGCTGAGATCTGCTTGCTGAAGTCTGGGGAACTGATGTGAGTGACAGGTCCCCGAGTGGGACCTCCCAGGGGGTCTGTGGGCAGGAGCACCAAAGGGGGAGCCCCGGCCCCTCCAGTGCCAGAGCCGGGGGCATCCCAGGGGCTAACTCGGCACCGACGATGGCTTTCAGTCTCTCAGTTAATTTTTTTTAATGTTTACTTGTTTTTGAGAGACAGCACATCAGTGGGGGAGGGGCCAGTAGAGGGGGAGATGCAGAATCCGAAGCAGCTCCAGGCTCCGAGCTGTCAGCACAGAGCCCGACGCAGGGCTCGAGCCCACAAACCTCAAGATCGTGAGCTGAGCCAAAGTCAGATGTGTGACCGACTGAGCCACCCAGGTGCCCCAGTCTGTGATTTTTTTTTTTAATGTTTTATTTCTGAGAGAGAGAGAGAGAGAGAGAGACAGCATGAGCAGGGAAGGATCAGAGAGAGAGGAAGATATAGAATCTGAAGCAGGCTCCAGGCTCTGAGCTGTCAGCACAGAGCCCAACGCAGGGCTCAAACCCATGAACCCTGAGATCATAACCTGAGCCGAAGTCAGACGCTGAATCGACTGAGCCACCCAGGCGCCCCTGTGATTTTTTTTAAAGTACAATTTATAGAGTGTAAAGTTCCCCCTTTAGGCGTGCAGTGCTTAGACTTTGACACACAGTACACTGTAATCCACCATCCCGCCAGGCCCCGTGCCAGGTGCAGCCAGTGGTTTATATTATCCCGGGGGCCTCAGTGCCCACCCGGCTCTGGGCCCCGGTTCTGCCGAAGAGGGAATGTAGGTCCGGAAAAGAACAGTGATTCAGCCCCGTGTGACCCCAGTGAAGACAGAGAACAGTTCCCTCCCCCTCAGAAGTTCCCCACCCCGCTTAGAGCATCCCTTTCTCACTCCCATGCCCTGTGCTCTTCTCTTTTGAAAATAACTTTGTATGTTTTCTCACTATAAGAGCAATACACTTTCATTGTAGAAAATAGGAAAATAGACACAAGCAAGCCTAGGGGGATAGCCTTCCGGTTCTTAAAAATACACAGGTATGTCACGTTTCAACACAGATACTCTACATCTTATTTTACTATCTTAAAACCCAACACTGAGTGAGTATTTTCATGTATTGTATTCTTGTGTGACGTGCCTAATGGCTGCATAAGTCATTGCATAGAGTCCCTTACTCACTCACTCACTCACGGATATTTATTCAGCACCTACTAGGCGCCAGGTACGTTCTAGGTCCTTGGAGTACATCAGTGACCAGAGCAAAGCCTCCCTGTTTAGCTTACATTCCAGCAGGGGTTGGTAGACACCTAGCCTAAGTAAATAAGTGAGTTACATAATGTGTTACATGGTGGTGTTTGCTGCGGAACAGAAACAGAAGGTAGGATGGGGGTCAGGGTGGAATTTGTCATTTTAAATACAGTGGAACTAAGAAGGTAAGAAGACTTGAAGGAGTTGCCATTCAGCTATAGGAGGGAACAGCATTCAGGCAGAGGGAACCGTCGGTGCAAAGGTCCTGGGGCAAGATGGAGTCTGGCACATGCAAGGAACAGGGAAAGGGCCAGTGTGGCTGAAGCAGGGAGAGCGAGAGAAACAGAGTCAGAGAGGGAGGGAGCCCATGTCACATTAGGCCTTGTTGACCCTTGTCAGGGCTTTAGCTTTTAATCTCGGAAAAATAGGAGCCCCAAACTGAGGTTTGAAATGGAGGAATCACTTCATCTAATTTACATTTGAAAAATCATTCTAGTTGCCGTGTGGGGAATGACTATGGAGAAGTGACCACAGAGGTAGGGAGACTACTAGAACTTACATTTATGATGTGAGTCCTGTAGACAATGGGCTCCTTTGATCTAAGATTATATTGGACACAGATGTGTTTTCACTCGCCTCTCCTTTGGGGAGACTGAGGGTTGTCCTCTCAGTGAACAGACAAAGTCTGGAAAGGTTAAAAAAAACAACAACAAAAAAAAGGCTAGAAGCACAATCTGAATGACTGGGTGCAAAGGAAGAATTCTGGAGCAGAAAAGTATAAAGCAGGCCAGCACTGGCGGGGTGTCCTGTCTGGGTGGCTGATCCCAGGGCCGGGCATTGAGGTTTCCCCTGTACAAGAAAGGCCTCTTTTCCACAGTGGAGCCCTCCAGCTGCTCGCCGATTCCTAAAGCCTGTAAGTGTCGGACAAGGCTTTTTGTTCCATAGTTAGAAGCTAACCTTAAATTAACACCTGGAAAAACCTCACATGGAATTTCATCTTCACAGAAGGGGAATGACTTCTGTCAGAGCCGTTCTGTGGAGCATTTTGGGTTTTGTTTTTTTAAGTTAGTTTATTTATTTTTGAGAGAGACAGCACAAGTCAGGGAGGGGCAGAGAGAGAAAGGGAGACAGAGAATCCCAAGCAGACTCCACACGGTCAGCACAGTGCCTGACATGGGGCTCGAACTCACGAAACCACGAGATCGTGACCTGAGCTGAAACCAAGAGTCGGCCCCTTAACCGACTGAGCCCCCTGGGTTCCCCACATTTTGGGTCTTTTGATCCTTGATTGCCCTTCTCATTAGCATAGCTTGCGGGAATATTTCCATCCATCTCCACAGCTCTGAAGGCAGAGAGAACTCTCAGCTCCCGTGACTTAGTTGCTGTGCAGTCTGGGGCGAGTTACCTAACCTCTCTGAGCTTTAGTTTCCACCGCTGCCTCTTGAGGGGGCAATGGTGATATATTTTCGCCATGAAAGGCAGTTTGGTAGAGGGACAGGTAATGGCTTCCTCTCAGAGCTGTGTGGGTCTGGACCAAGTTTCTTCATCTGTTCAAACGTCGGCTTCATGTCAGCGGCAGCGTCCTGCTTCCTCATGTGGCCGTGGTGATAGCACGTGAAGCCTGCGAACAGAGAGCCCCACACGTAGTGGCCGCAACCTCCCCACTCACGGCCACACAGTGGCTGCCACCTTCCCACTCACAGGAGATGAGGCTTGCCCGAGGCCCTGTCGCGGTGTTAGCTCAGCACTGGAGGCCGTGTCCCCACGTCGCGGGCTCACATGCTGCCTCCTGGCTTGCACGGGCCAGGAGGGGGCGCCGCTGAGCTGGGAAACAGGCAGCATCGGGGAGCAGTACCCCCCCTCAGGCCAAGTTCACCCCACACCCGTCAGCAGGCAGGCCTGGTTGTCCCTTTTCGCAGATGAGGACACTGAGGCTCAGGAGTGGGAAAGGGAAGCAGCAGACGGGAAGCGAGGCAGGTACCGGAACCCAGGTCCCTCTGGCACCACACTCTGGGCCCCGCACAGGACCCCAGAACCCGAGGAGCTCGCTGTCACTAAACCTTTGAACTTCCCGAAGTGGCTGCTGTCCAGCAGGCGAGCGTCAGAACCAGGGACACCGCCCCCGGGAAGCCTGTGGCCCCGAGGCCATCTCCCCACCCTGCCGCCTCTGCGGGGTAAAGAATCTGGGACAGCTGCATTTAAGAAGTCAGGGTGCCCCCTTGCGATTTTGCTGCAGGCCCCAGATTTCCAGAGGGCGGCAGGTTTCTAACGGGCGCGCGTCAGCAGGATCAGGAGGGGGCGGGACGGCTGGGCAGCAGGGCGGGCCCGGGAAAGCCCCAGAAGCCCGGGCCTCTGCACCCGCTTCCCGGCCGTGGGCCGTGCTCCTCTGCCACAGGCTCGCAGGCAGCCAGGGTTGTGAGCGCCTGCTTCCCTAGTGGCCCCGGAGCCTAGGGAAGGAACACACGCTGTGTGTCCAGGTTTCTCCCGTATGTAAGCGTGTTGGTCAAGGGTAGCCAGGCCTTGTCCTCCCAGGGGCCTCTGAGCCACAGACGAGCTGGCCAGTGGACTCGGGCACTTTGCGCGTGCGATCGGGGCCCTCTCCGCCTTTGGATTCTATAGGATAAAATTACCCCTGACGGTGGAGGAGATCGCCAGCTTCGGGGAGAGCAACAGGGAGCTGTTCGTGAGGTCCAGCACCTACAGCGTCATCCCCATCACCGTGGCCGAGGCGGGCCTCACCATCAGCTGGGTCTTCTCCTCCGACCCCAAGAGCATCTCCTTCAGCGTCGTCTTCCGGGAGGCCGAGGACACACCGCTTGACCAGTGTAAGGTGAGGCCGGCTGTCCGCTAGTGGGCTCCCGCGCCCTCCGCTGTGCAGGCCTCACCTGGAGCGAGAGGGCCAGGGACAGAGTGGGGAGAGCCGTCCGGGCCGCGTCCCACAGGGCAGGCAGAGTGCCGCACTTGGCCAGCTTGGGAAGGGAGGATCTCGGAGGCCCTGGAGCACTGCGTTCAGACATCTGACGGCTGCTCCTCTGCCAGACGTCTCGGTCTGACCCTGGGCCAGGGCAGTGGGTGAAATTTCGAGGCGTACAGGCGTGTGAGCCAACCTAAGGATCGTTGTTTCACAGAGCAGTGCAGAGCGAGGGGAGGGCTCCATGGGGGAGGTCGTGGGCTTGGGGCGTTGGGCATCTCACCTCAGAGACCTTGCCAGAGACACCTAGCCGTCATGTCCCTTGGGTGGTGAGTGGGGCTTGAAATCTTGGTGGCAGATCCCGAGACACTCTAAGCGTGGCACACTGGGGATGGCCTGGCCCACGGGCCTCGGTGTTGTCCACCCTCTAGAAACACCCGCCCCTGCGACTTTGGCCACGCCACTGGGTCAGAATTCACGGGGGGTGGCGGGGTGTGCACACAGGCGTCCGCGGGTACGTCCGGCGAGCCTAGCTCAAGGGGTTGGGAGCCAGAAGAGAAGGATGGGGAGGGTGATCCAGAGCCCGGACTCCGCGGGGGGCTGACGTGGCCTGGGGGGAGGGGCTGGTTTGGGCAGAAACGCCTGTCCCGTGGGACACGCTGTGGGGGGGACTGGTGAGGACGGTCAGGCGGGCCGAGGGCTCGGTGGCTATTCCGTGCAGAAGCTCCCGCGTGCCAGCCGTGGCGAGAAGGGCGGGGGTGACTGTGTGGGAAGATCCAGTGTGGGAAGATCCACGAGCCCCCCCAGTATGCGGGGCGCTGGCTGGGGGGGGACCCGGCGAGGAGCAGGGTGCGGGCCCGGAGCTGGAAGAGGGCAGGCTCGCCTGGCATGCAGCCACGTGCAGGAGCGCACGTCTGTCGTCTTGCTGTCCCGTCCGGCTCGTCACAGAGGCGGTGCTGTCAGTCCCGCCCCTCCTCAGGTTCACTCCTGCGGCTCCGTTCCAGCCTCCTTGCGTTGCCCTCGCTCCGTGGAGTCTCGTGTTCGTTCTCCTCCAGGAGCCGCTCTGCCCCCCCCTTTCCCTCCAGGGAGCTCATGGCCGTGTTCCGAGCTTGGAACCCTCTGTCCCTGGGGTCCCGAGCCTGCACCCAGGCGGCACTGGGGCTGGCAGCCCGGGAGCAGGCGCAGACCCTGCCCCGCAGACCGCAGACCACACGCGGGCCTCAGGCCTCGTTGGCAGATGAGGTCACTGAGGGCAGGACGTTAGGCCACAGCGTAGCCGGCCTGCCTGTCAGCTCTACACTAGCTCGCCTCCGGCAGCTCGGCCGTTCGTTCTCACCAGCCCCAACACCTACCAGGCACCCCACCACATCCGCCCGCATTAGACACCACTGGTGTTTGTGGCAGGGACGGGGGAAGGGGCTAAATCCAGTGTCCAGGCCTTTGCCATTCCGCCTGTCCACGCGTGGCCGAGCCGTGGGCCTCTCCCCTTGCCCAGCCGCCCAGCCCTCATGGCCCTGGGAGGTCTGCGTGGGGGCCTAGAGGAAGCTTCCACCGCGTCTCTGGCTGCCAGTGACCTCTGGGCAGCAGGACTACCGTGTGCTTCCCAGAGTGGACGCCAGGGGGCGGAAGGAGCCCATGTACCGGGCGAGCGAGAAGGGCTTTCCAGGCTGCCTGCCTTCAGGAGCCTGCTGTGGGGCTGCTGTCATTTCTGCCCCAGGCCCCCTGAACAGATATCGGCCTGAGAGCCTGTTTCCAGGTGCGCGTCCTCAGCGGCTGTCTGGGGGACTCCCCCTGGGATCCCCTGACTCCCCTGACCAACCCTGGGGTCCAGGGCAAACAGCAGCACCCAGAGGTGTGACTATGGAGTGTAGACATGAGGGACTCGGGAGCCTGCTTACAGCCACCTCTTGAGCTCCTGCTGAGCCCCGTGCTGTGTCGCACCTGTCAGAGTTAGAGACTGAGAAGGGACACCATGAGGTCCGCCCTTCAGGAGGGAGACCCTAGGGAACAGACAACCGAGATTCCAGGCGGAGTGTGTCATGGTGGGGGTGGGCGGGCACCTGGGGGGCAGTGATCCGGGAGGAGGCCTTGGGACACACCGGGAGATGCGCCCTGGTACAGGGGGCCACACAGCCCAAGGCCAGCGCCATCTCTGGCAGCCCGAAGCAGACACTGCCCCACCCCCCACCCCCTCCACTCCAGAGTGCTTCCATGGTCAAGGTCAAGGTCATGCCTCAGCACTGAGATTAGAGGCTGTGAAGTTGGGAAGACGCTTGACCAGAGAAACAGTAGACCAAGGACTTGAGGCTGCCTGTGTGCTGACCACTGTCTTGAAGCTTGGGGACAGAGCAGGACACAGGACCTAGGCCCTGCCCTCTCTCTGGACAGGGGACCCATGTTTGACCAGAGAAACTCGACAGGCTGCCGAGTCCCCTGGGGCCACAGAGAGCCAGGGGAGGAACAGGCACTGGGGGCACAGACACTTGACGCGGTATTTTTTAGACAGCTTTATTGCGACCTAGTTCATATACCAAACAGTGGACCCATTAAAGTATACAGCGTATTACAGCTTATGTGGCCGTCGCCACTCTGATCCCTCCAGAGGAAACCACTCACGGCCAGTCACTCCCGGACCTCCACGCCCCCAGCAACCACCAACGTGGCTTTTGTGACTCACTTCTTCCATTTAGCCTAGAACCCTTGCTTTGCACAGGAGCCCCGGGCCGCATCCAAATATAAATGAAACCCACCTGGGCTGTCTGGCAGACACATGGTGTAAATCGGGGCACGGCCACCCAGGCACTGGCGGCTGGTGGGCAGCGCCCCAGAGCTCACACTGCAGAGACCTGGCTGGGGTTTATTTCAGAGACCCATCCCCCACCCCTCCCCATCGTCTTCCTGTCACTGTCACTGCAGCTGCATGAGCCCTGTCACCAAAGAAAATCTCATAGATTTTGACCATGGTGGGAAGACAGGAATTGAGATGTGTCAAAAGTCGACAGAATAGGAACTTTTAGCGCCTAACGAGCCCTCAGTTGTTGTTTTGCAGTCAAGGTAGTAAATGCTGAGGTTGAGGTGAGGGCGCCCAGGCACCCCTGTATAAACAGCAAGCCTTCCTGTCCGGCGGCTCCTGCCTGCCTGCACTTGCCGGAATATCCAGGCTCGGAATTGTCAGGTTTCGGGCCACAGAGGCGGACCCAACCTCTCAGCCTCCCAGAATTCTCAGTGCCCGGTGGGACTAGAGTACGAGAGACCATTAATGGAACTCGATGAGACCATGCACAGAAGTGGCCGCCCCAGAGCCTACACACAGTAGGTCCTCATGCATCTTTGTCCCGTCCAGGTTTGTCTTGGGCCCTTCCTACTCTCTCACCGCCAGCAGCGCCCAGCCAGAGCAAATGTACTACGGCGTCCGGAACCCGCTGTGCACGCTCTCTCCCACGCCTTTGGGATCTCCCATTTGATTTTTTATTTCTTTCTGACCCAAAGGTCATTTAAAAGTGTGATAATTAGCTTATAAATATTTTAGTATTTTCTAGAGATCTATTCACTCTCTTCAAAAAAAATTTTTTTTAATGTTTATTTATTTTTGAGAGACAGAGAGACAGAGTGTGAGCAGGGGAGAGGCAGAGAGAGAGGGAGACACAGAATCCAAAGCAGGCTCCAGCTGTCAGCACAGAGCTGTCAGCACAGAGCCCGACACAGGGCTTGAACTCATGAACCGTGAGATCATGACCTGAACTGAAATAGGCCACTTAACCAACTGAGCTACCTGGGCATCCCAGAGATCTATTCACTGCTAATTTAAGTCCATTGCAGGCAGAAAACCAACTGTGTAGAACTTGAATCCTTTTAAATATGGGGTGTTTGGTTTGGTTTTTTTTTTTAATGGCGTACTGTGTATTCCCCGTGCACCCAAGAGAGAAGGTGCGTTCTGCCGTGGTCCGGTGGGGTGTTCCATAAGTGTCAGTTGGATTGTTAGTTGGTCCTGTTCTTCAAGTCTTCTATCTCCTTACTGAGCTCCTGTCTTTTATTCTGTCAATTATTGAGGGCATTGAAATATACAACTGTAATTGTGAATTTACCTATTTCTCCTTGTGCTTCAACGCTTTTTGCTTCATGTGTTTTGAAGCTCGGTCATCAGGGGCATAAATGTTAAGGATTCAGCCCATCCTCTTGATGCAGTAACATCTTTATCATTAGGAAACTATCCCTGGCCACCTCCCTTGATATAAAATCTCTTTCGTCTGATACTAAAGCAGTCAATTCAGCCTTCTCTTGGTTAGTGCTACCACCATATATCTTTTTACATCCTTTTATTTGCAACATGTCTGCATCTTTACATTTAAGTTGTCTTTTCTCATAGACATGATGGGGTGGGGTCAACCTGGTAATCTTTGCGTTTTAATTGGGATGTTTAGACTATTTATATTTAATGGGCTTATAGAGCAGCCCATTATGGGTTTGAGTCTGTCATCTTACTCTTTGTTTTCCATTCTCCCATCTGGCTGTTCTCCTCTCCAAGTGGAGACCTGGGGCAATTGTGGGGCTCACCTGACCCCGGGGCAGCTCTCGGTCCAGTAGGAGCCAGCCAGGCATGTGGACGTCTCCTCCAGTAAGTCCCAGCTTCCTGAACCGAGAAAAGGAGTGGTCCTCCACATGTGGAACGTTCTGGCACTGCCTATGGTCAGAGGAGGCTGGGACCACCCCTTTGGGGTGCCGAGTAGTTCACAATTCTGGGTGAGACTCATGCTCACAGCCTCTTCCCTGACACAGATCATCAACAAACGCAGGGCGCGTGGAAGACAGCTCGCCGCTCCTGGGCTGACCCCAGCCCCAGCCTCGCTCCACTGCCGCCTCAGACGGGGCGCCTAGCCTCCCTAGGCCTGGTCCCCTCCCCAGAACGCAGGGTCTGCCCGGGGGACCCTGAGGCCCTCTCGGCTTCCCCGACACTTTTCCTCATCTGCTGTCCCTCCCAGGTCCTCATCCCCACGACACGGTGCAGCTCCCACAAGGAGAACATCCAAGGCCAGCTCAAGGTCCGCACGCCGGGCATCTACATGCTCATCTTCGACAACACCTTTTCCAGGTAGGGATGCTCGTTCATTAGCATCCAGAAGGACTCACCTGCCACCTGGCCCCCAGAACAGACGTGGGCGTTTAAAAGAGGCTATTTACTTGTCAGTAATTTATTATTAATAGTTTGTTTTTGTTTTGTTTTGTTTACCTTAGACCCCTATACAGCAGTGGTCTAGGGTCTGTTACAGAGTTTATAAAACACAGGCTGGTACTGACAGGGTCTTAGCACACGGGAGGTGGTTCTCAGACCTCCGCCCTTACGGACTCACTTAAGCCCAACCACGCCCCCGTGTCAGAGCGACCACGTTCTCCTCACGGTGCTGCTAAGGGACTGAGGACCAGACGGGCAACAGTGACACTCCCAGGTCACACAGCTGGTAGCAATGGAGCTGAGTGGGAACCCAGAGGGCCTGTCGCCAGGCTCTGGACTCAGCCATACACCCTCCTACCTCTCACGGGTGTCCTGGCTCATGCTGCGTAACCCAGAGAAGGGGCTCAGTGGAAACCGTGGAAGGAAGGAAGGATGAATGGATGGACGGATGGACGAACGGACAGGCAAGAGGGAAATGAAGGCCAGGACTAGAGCTCCGAGGAGGAGCCCCTGGGCCTGCTCATCATGGCAGAGGGAGCAGCGTGTGCCGTCTCTGGGAAGCACTGTGTCAGAGCACCAGATATGGGTCAGGAGTGAAGGGCTGGGGGCAGGAAGCTGGGGAGGTAGGGACACGGGCCGGAGGGGCGGCCGAGGAAGGAAGTGGAGGAGGGGAGCGCGTTGGCGAGGCCTGTGCCGTGCGCCAGGGCCCCCACGTCATGGCGACGGGAGACGGGGGTGGTTAAGATTGCCGGCACCCATCCCTTCTGTGTCCTCAGGCTTCAGCATGAGCCCTTGTTGGGGCCGCCTCATTGAGGAGGCCTGCCTGGCCAGCACCAGCCACGTCCTCTGCGAGTAGGGCCTGCGTGAGCAGCCATGTACCCCCACAGGGCACCCTTCCCAGCCCCCTTGGCTTTCAGAATGACTAGAGGGCATATTCTAGAAGAGAGCCACGCCAGCCCTCACCACCTTTATGCCCTCAACTTCAGGGCTTGTGGCCAACGGTGTCCACCACATGAGAGGCTAAGGATAGGAGCTTCCCCCCGCCCCGCCCCCGCATGCCCCCGTGAAAACACACACACACACACCTTGAGTAGGACTCATGGGCATAGGCCCAGCATTTCCTGAGAGTGGCCTTCGGGCTCCGAGCAGCCGTGGGCCCCAGCCCCCCACAGGGCTGCAGGGCGGGGCGGCGGCTAAGAGAGTGGGTGCAGGCCAGCCAGGCACGGGCCTGCTCTTCCCTCTGTGGGCCGCGGACGGCAGCACACATTCAGGGGCCCGGTGGGGCTGAAACCATGCTCCCCTCCCCCGGAGACTCTTCTCAGTGTCTGCCCCCCTGCAGCCCCCGCGCCCTCCCCCCCCCCGCCCCCCAGCAGCTTCAGAGCAGCAAACCCGGGCCTCTTCTGCACCCAGGCCCCAAGGCAGTCAGTGCTGACGTCCAGGGACCCCTGGGCACTTTGCTCTGTCCGGGGAGAACTCTGCCTGCCAGACCGGAAACAGGGTGAGGGGCTCAGGCCTCCCCACACGGCCCCTCTCCCTGGCCAGCACGCACAACCAGCTGGGTCACCACAGGGGTAGCCGCTGCCCTCGGGTTTCGGCATCTCTCTGAGTAACACCCTCCTTTTCCACTTCTGTTTCCTCAGGTTTGTCTCCAAGAAAGTGTTTTATCACTTGACGGTTGACAGGCCTGTGATCTACGATGGAAGTGATTTCCCGTAGCCTCAAGCACCTGGAGTCCAGTAGTTTCACTTTATCCGCAGGAAACACTACTGTCACTCACCTGTCACATAAAGCACTAAAAAGAAAAGAAAAGAAAAAAAAAAAAAAGGCAGTGGCTCCGAAGCTAAGCGACCGCAGCTCTGGGAGACAGGTCCCCGGCCGCCCCTCAGAGCTGCTGTGCCCGGAGCACTGTGTACTCAGCACTACGCACCGTCACGCTCAGCCTCCATGGCTTTGAAGGGCTCAAGCAGCACTTCCAGTGATTAGGGACCCAACTGTCCTCACACCCACAGGGACACTCTGCCAAAGGTTCTAACCCTCAGGAGACCATCGGCCTCTCCCGGAGCCACAGCTGGCTCCAGGCCTCCCGTGGACAGTTGCACAGGCCAGAGTCTCTGATCCCAACTTGTGCCCCGTGGAGAGAAAGGCCCCACTCTGCCCAGCGGGAGGCCGGCGTCCTGGGTGACCACGGGTTGGGATGTCCCGGCCAGACCCTGTGAGTCCTCAGGCCGTGAGGCCCTCGGTCCTCCCAGGAAAAGGAGGCCACAGGGCCATGCTGAGAGTCAGGGCGCCTGGGGTCCCCCTAAAACTCCCTCCAGCCTCTTCCCATCATGCCTCTGTCCCTTCCTGCCCCAGTAAAATTGGGGCTGCTCCAAACTCAACTGTTTTGGACAGGCCTTGAGCTGCACTTTCTTCCTGGCCCTTGTCTGCAAAGTTCTGTCCTCGCACAAGGCCCTTCACTCAGGCAGGCCCTCAGTAGTTCCAAACAGAGTCCTAAAAATCAGAAGCCACCCCACTGAGGATGCACCCTGTGGCACTGTCCCCACACGGGCGGCTGGAGCCCGAAGGCCAGCTAAGAGGCTAACACCGACAGCCTGACACATGGCGCCTTGGACGCGCTGCTCAGCGGATGGGCTGTCTTTGTATAAACAAGAGCTTCCACCTCACCTTCAGGCGCACTTACTAATGACCACAATCAGGGTAAGAACCACTTTCAAACATGGGGGCCTCCTTCACAAAGGTCTTTGGTAACCAGGGCGTGACAGGCGTCATTCGTGAATCTGCCGTGACTTCACTCCTTGGCCCCCACTTCCCACCCGCCTGCTCCCAGCACCCCGTTGGCCCACTCCCTATGGCTCAGCCTCCACGTGACACCCAGGAGCCATGCCCCCTTGGGGCTGATGAATCCTTTTCCTAGAAGGAGATAACCTTCCTGCTGTCCGTGGCCCTTTTCTTCCCCACCACACAGAGCTCACCTGTGATAGGCTCTCTGTGCCTGGGTCACAGAGGCCAGAGCCCCAGGTCAGGGCTCAGACACTTCTGCAGGTGAGCAGGGCATCTGATGAGGCGCCTGCTTCGGCCAGGGATCTGAGGGAGAGCGCTGGGCCCGCCCATCCCCCAGCGGGCCTGGTGACCAGGCAAGCCACGCCAGACAGAGGCCAACCAGGCCTGTTTGTCAGGTGAGAGCTTGAGCACAGGTCAGGGGCCCCGGGCCAGGCCCAGCACAGACCCCACAGCCACCAGCCAGCAGAGAAGACTTCGTGGTGCAGGGTAGGGAGAAGTAACCTCTGCGATAGACTGAGAGCTGTCACTTACACAGGGGATGTGGCTGCTTGCAGTCAGGTTAGACAGGGCAAGGGGGGTGGTGAACAGAACCTTCCAGAGACATTAACCCAGAGAAAAGACAAACCTCTCGTGCTCTTTCCTTGGAGCAGCCGCCTGCAGCAGGAAGCTGTCAGGGGCCCGAGCGACTCCCAGGGGCCGAGGCCTTAACCAAGCTCAGCGCCAAGGCAAGAAGCAGCCAGGCCCCCAGAGACTCCTGAGCTTCATGCCTGCCCTCCCTAGTGTGCCACACAGCCTGAGGACTGTTCCAGAGCAAACCACCCCGCCTGGGAGCCCTTCCTCTCCCCCGTTTCCCACAAGACCAAGACTCACAATGGAGAACCCAGCACAGTCTGGGGCCTTGTTTTGAGTGCTTTCCCAGAATGCTGCACAGGCTGGCCAGCCGATGGTGTCCCCACCATCCTATGCAGCTAATGACTCCTATATTTCCTAAGAAAGGCCTGGAACATTCCATCCAAGCCCCCTCATGAACCTCTGTCAGTCAGCCCGGCAGGGGACCAACAACAGCTGAAAACTGCACTTGGCTCTTGTTTATCCCACCCGGAGCCGCTCCTCCAGGAGGGCCCCCGGCGGTGTGCAGCCTCCTGCCCCCCGGAATGCTGACCCTGACCGCAGCTGTTCAGAGGACCGCCCGACCCCCCGGTGGCCACGTCCTGGCTCCGTAGCCTATTTATTGTTTGTGCTGGACAGACTTTTCCTTCGCTACTTTGCCGCGTGAGCTCGAGTGTGCTGTGTGTTATGCAACCAGAGAGAGCACATTTCGGTGTGGCTTGTACGAATAGCTTTATTCTCACTTTAAACACACTCCCGACTTGTTCTGAGGTTTGGGGGTTGGTGTAGTTTTCAAAAACGCAGATGACAATGAAGGACAACCATTGCAGGTGGTAGCCCCAGCCAGTAAACCCAATTACACTAGAAATCATCAGGAGGAGACCTCCTTGAGAGCCCGGATCACTATGCAAAATGAAACAAGAACCCAGCAGCAGCCCCTGGACAGCCGGCTCTCTGAATAACAGTCACCCACCCTGTAGTACTCGTACCGCCTGCCTCGTTCACCTCTGTCTCAGAAGCCACTTCCCCGAGGACACAGCCTCTTGGGCATACTCCCCCATAGCAAGGAAGGGTGTGGGGATGAAGCGTGGCCTCTGCAGAGCCCTTGTGGCTGGAGCCTGCTAGACTCCAGGTCACCTGGACCCCGAGCAGGCAAAGAAATTCCCCAGAAGGAACTGGCAACTGAAACACCCCACCAGGTTCGAGAAGCAGAAAGGAAAAGCCACACACCATACCTGGAAAAGAAAGAGAATGGTCCTTCTGAATTTCTCCAGTTATCCCCTCACCTAAGGTGGGGAAGCCCCTTCTAGACTCCAAGGAAAGGAAGTCCCCATTTGGGAGTGAGATCTCAAGAGTTCTGTGTTTTACATGACACTGGTTAGAGTCCACTGAGTTTCAAGATTTTTTTAGGAGTTTCATTTTTAAGGTCCACCTTGGTAACCACCCGTGAGAATCCCATCCTTGGCTCAGAGGTGTTGAGAGTTGAGGCAGAGAGAAGCCATCGGTGATTCTGAGAACCAGGAGTCACCGTGCGGAAGTGAGCCCCTAAGCCACGTTGACAAAACACTTACCCTGAAAGGCACTTTTTAGTGGAGACTTGGGTAAGGGTTTTTTTCGTTGTGTTGTGATTCTTCCAAGAAATGGGAAAGACAGAGTTAATCATACCTCTTCCTCGTAATGGCTTTTGAAAAACTAGTAAAGTCTCTAAATTTCAGGAGATGGCGCTGATACGTAGGTTTCCGGAACCTTAGGACAAGTGTTACCCAGAGACACCCCTGCCTCTGGGGGCTGCAGAGTGACGTCAGCCTTGGCTGGGTGGCTTCCAAATCTGAATTGCACTTTAATTGACTAATCCTCCATTCTTGAGGCCTTACAGGATAGTGGGTCTGGGAGCCCATTGCGTTCCCACCTGCCAAAGAACTACCCAGAAGCACATCAAATCACCAGCGCCCCACCTGCACAGTGGGGGGGGGGGGGTGAGAAACTTTTGTATCCCACAACATGCACCTTTATAGCATCTGCGGCACCATTTGGATCTGTTGTATTTCTAACCTCAGGATTTAAATAAAGCAAGCACTATGACATGGGGAGGCGCGTTGTCTTTCCTTACACTGGGACCTGAGACGAGCAATGAAGCCACCCAGACCGGACTGGGGGCGGAGTCACCCTACGGGGGGCTAGAGCTTCGGCTTGCGCCCCAGCTTTTCAGAAGGGCTCGAGCCACCAGATGTTCTGAGAGGGTGGCCGTGCAGCCTGGCATCTGGGTGCTCCTGCCCCGTCTACCGTGAGGTCAGTGTTCAGACCTGCTGGAGCCAAGGTATCCTGCCGGCCCCACTGCTCTCTGCCAGGCTGAGCTACCAGAACAGTGTGGGGAAGGAGGGAAGGTCACAGATGCCCTAAAACCATGCCCAGTCGACCTGTGGCACAAAGCTGGGCAAGACCAAGGCAGCTGGCAGAGGAAGGAGTCACGTTCCCACCGGAACAACGCCTGCTCCTGCTGAGTCAGCAGGAACCTGCCGCAGAGCCAGAGGGGCGGGACCCCGTCCCTCCTGGGCCGGTCAGATGGAGCACACCCACCCCACCCACCGCATCTGAGGATCACGGAACACCCTCGGCCCCCCTTGCCTCCACCTCCCTCCCTCCTGCAACCCTCCCTCTGCCCCCAGATTTCTCATGTGGTCTCTTCTCTAATCAGCTACACAGGAATAAGTTCTACTTTCTGTAACCATAACCATGTTCTCCCTCAAGGGCAGGGACCGTGTTTCCTTCTACATCTCCTTCCTTTCCCTGAGTCCCACGGCGTCGAGCACCATGGCAGACACAGAAGCACTCAGCAGTTACTGAGTCAATGAGGACACCGGTCGGTCCCCATGCTTGGTCAGCTCTAAGGCCGTCGGCTATCCTATTGGCCGACTTGGCCAGGGACAGGAGCCCCTGTCGCCCCCATGGCACAGAAGGGCAAAGGGCAAGCCTCCAGGAGAGGGATGTGGGGAGAATGGAGGTGAGCTGGTCTCTCGATCCTGTCCCCCACACCCCCTCTTGTGTTAATGATGCCCTCAAGTCAAGCCTCTTGCTGTCCCACGAGCAGGCCGAAGTACTGGAAGATGGGTTCATCCAAATGCCCAAAACATGGCAGCTGGAGCCTTGGTAACAAGCCCTCCAGAGACCTGGTGACCACATGGGCTCGGGGGGCTAGAAGGAGAACCAGCTGAGACACACATGGCCGTGTGTACTGCCCCTGAAGCTGGGATCCCGGGGCCTCCACGTCAAAGTCCCCACTGCGCCTAAACCACAGAGCAGGCCAAGATGACCCAAGTCTCTTCCAGATTCTCCAAGGCCGGCTTAATTCCAGCAATCCCGGCCTGGCTCAGTGCCCGGGGGCTCCGCGACACTCGGAGGTGCCTTGTCTCTTCTGGCCACATTGCCTGGTGGGGCCAGAGGATGTACAGGTTCCCCGGGGGGACTCAAAAGGAAACTCTCGGCAGGTCAGCCCTTTCGGTTTGAAGATGCGTGGGAAAAATCTGGCGAGAAGAGCTTGCCACCCACATAGATTGGCGAAACCTGTCACCCAAGATGAGAAAATGGATTTTTTTTTTTTTTTTTAAGAGAGAGCAGTTGAAGCCAAAGCCGTCAGAAACCAGGCGGAGAGCACAGCTATTATGAAAGCCATTCAAAGTGGGTTAGGGTTGAGAGAAAGGTCAGCCTTCTGTGTTCCCCACACGTGGTTTCTGGAGGGGGGTGAACCCGAGCACAAGTGTGATCGCTGGCCTCTGGGGTGTGATATCTGTGCCCCCGACCCTCCCCATCCCCCCGCGCTCTGTGGGAGGACGAGGCTGGTGTGGTTTCCTCACACCTTCGGGCACGTATGGACTGCGGTTGCGTCAGACACAGCAGCCCCATCTGAAGCCTGGAATAAAGTGTCTTCTTCGCTAAACAGCAACAAAAAAGAGGAAGAACAAAGCGAGGCATCAGCAAACCGGGAGCACGTGAGCGTCCTTACCGAAAGGAAGGGCTCGGCTCCGGAGCAGGCTGCAGGCCTGCGGCTCCCTAGAATCATCCAAGGGAAGGCAATATCAGGTCAGGGGGGCCTCCCTAGCTTTCCGCCGCCAAGGAAGCCTCTGACTGAGCCGTGAGGAGAGAAGGAAACTTCCCGGGAGGCCTGGACACCCGTCGGCCGGGTCAGTGGAGCAGGCACTGACTTCTTCCCAGGAGGAAGGAAGGAGTGAGGGGAGGGGAGATGGGGAGAGCAAAGGATGGGGGGGCAGAGAGGTGGTGAGGAAGGAGGGGTCCATGGGAGGGACCTCCCAAAGGCCTTGGGGAAGACCGGGCTGGAGTCTACGTAGGCAGAGGTCACCTTTCTCATCAGAGGAAATGGCAGCATCCCCTGCCCTAAATCCAGAGTGGCTCCATTCGTGTCCAAAATGTCAGAGTTCCAGGAAGAAAATAGGAGCCGGGTGCTGACAGATACGTGATGGGGAGGCAGGTCGAACATGAGCTCCTCACCTGGTCTGCATGCAGAATTCAGAAGGGCCGGGAACTTGGATACGGGGAAAATGGCCTCCTTCCCCTGACTTGGAACTAAATGTTAGACCTTCCCTCCACTATGAATCTAAACAACATGTCACACTAGGGTATGTCAGCAAGAGCTGTGACTTTGTCGCCAATGGAAATGACAGATATTTTCATATTTACAGACCCTCAACGTATCATCTCCACTCCGAAATGAAGGCTGTTGTTAAACTTGCTGGTCGATTCTACTTAAGGCATTAATAAATTTTTTTAAAAAGGCACAGATGTTACTAGTTCATAGATTTGTTCTAATTTTTAAAGGATTGTATTTCAACAGAGGTTTTCTTTGGAACCCTATATATTTTATTTTATTCATTTTAAAACATTCTAAGAAGACGGCAGGAGGCCTTATAGGGTTGCCAGAGGCGAACATGAGGAAGAAAGAAAAGGTTAAGGAACTTCGGCTTCTGCCAGGTCTTTATGAAAAAGATGAGGCAGCTCAGCTCACTGCTTCACAGGCCCATTAATAACAGTGTCAGCAAATACAATCAATCTAACGGGCCCTTGCCAGACGTTGGCCCAAGATCCAGGGAAGTCGTTCGGTCTGAACCACGTACGGGCTTGTTTCTACTACTGCACCAGCCGCGATGGCCGCGATGGCTGTGGGAGTGGTTTTCTTTAAACTGTTTTTATTTTACCAGAGTCTAGATCATCCAGTGATTTAAAAAGCAAAACAAAAACCTCTTTCATTAACCAGGATTTGTGACGGCAGCCCTTGACCTTCAAACCGTGTATCATCCTCCACACAAAGGGCTGTCTGGGTGTTTTACGGTCACAATAACACTGCAAAACAAGCAACCTCAAAACCAGCGGCTTAAACCCTGAGCATCTATTTAGTCCCCCAGACCTGCAGGTGGACGTGGGCGTTCTCATGAGGTGACGCATGCTGGTCACCGAGGCATCCGCCCGGGCAGGTCGTGCGTCACCTGAGCTCCCTCGTGTCTGCCGGTTGGCTGGCTGTCCGCTGGTTGTGCCTGGGCTCACCCCCATGCCTGTGGCCAGTTGGTTGGTCAGGAGGGGGCTGGCCTGCCTGCAATGGCCTTGGCCAGGTGACAGCCCTGCTCCTCAGGGTCTCCCACCCCCACAGCATGGCCAGGCTTCTTCAGCGGAGCGCTGGGCAGGTTTCCGGGACAACGAAGGCCAGCACAGAGCCTCGTGTGCTCTCTCAGAACTTGGCACAACATCACTTCGGCTGTATTCTGTTGGCCCAGAGCAAGTGTCAAGGTCAGCCCAGATTTGAGGTGTGGGAAGAGAGACCGCCGTGGATGGGAGCACTACCAGGTCACTTGGTAAAGGTTATGGGGCCAACAGGGGCGGAGACCACCTCAGAGTCTGACCATCGCCCGTTCTCACACTGTCCCTTTCCCCCCAGTCTCTCCTCCTTACCATCTCCTCCAGACACGCCCATCCAGGTACACGACGGTGCACACGAGACTCTCTAAGGGCTCAGTGTCTGTGACAGCAAAGCAAGGAAGATGGTGTCAGAGGGTGTGGCCAGAAGGAGCGCACAGCCACAGCCCAGAAGACCACCACGTATGCTTCTGGATGAGGGCGCTAGACCCTCCACAGCAGCTGCCCCTAGAAATGGGGCTGGGGGTGTGGTGCCCGGGAGGCACAGTTTTGCTTTTCTCATTATACCCTCCTTAAATTTGTTTTACATTTATTTATTTTTGAGAGACAGAGAGAGACAGAGCACAAGTGGAGGAGGGGCAGAGAGAGAAGGAGACATAGAATCTGAAGCAGCTCCAGGCCCCAAGCTGTTAGCACAGAGCCTGACGCGTGGCTCGAACCCACAAACTTTGAGATCATGACCTGAGCTGAAGTCGATGCTTAACTGACTGAGCAACCCAGGTGCCCCTTTAAAAAAAAAAATTTTTTTTTACATTCATTATACCCTTCTATACCACAGAATTATTTTTGTTACACACCAGTGTAACTTAAAATATTTTTTTAACTAATTTCTTTTTTTAAAATTTTAAGGTTTTTTTATTTTGAGAGAGAAAGAGAGAGCAGGGGAGGGGCAGAGAGAGAAGGAGAGAGGGAATCCCAAGCAGGCTCCGTGCTGTCCACACAGAGCCTAATTCGGGGCTCAAACTCATGAACCCGACCAAGATCATGACTTGAGCCAAAATCAAGAGTCGGACACTTAATCAACTGGGCCACCCAGGCACCCCCGAAAACTGATTTCTAAAAAGAACAAATTCACATCAGCTCATGACTATGCTCAATTTCCCTATAAACACCCAAATGCCCAGTTCCTACAAGCTCAAGTCATAACATAGGTAACATCTGTCTACATTCACCCAAAGGGTCACCTACTCAACAGTAAGGGTGAAGACAGGGAGGGAGGGCCTGAGAGGAAGCAGAAGCCTGGGCAGGATTCCTGTTCCCCTGCCTGGGGACCAGCCCATCTATGGCCACCAGCTCCCCCTCCTGACTCAGGGCCTGTGCCTGGATTCCATGGTGTGCATGAACCACCAAGAACTAAATGTGCTTGAACTCCAACCGGGGAGAA